AACCCCGCTGGCCCGAAAAAACATCTACAAGAGATCATTTGTCCCATCTGCAGTCACTGCTCTAAACAACCGGTAGCACTGTATAAATTATGAAATGTATTTTTCTTATGTGTTTTAAATGTATTTTATGTGTGTTTTATGAATGATCATGAATCGTGCCGTGTTGAAAGACAAATTTCTGCTCAATTTGAACAGACAATAAAGATCTATTCTATTCTATTCTATTCTATGCAAAACGATATGTTTGGCGTAAAAGCAACACAGCTCATCACCCTGAACACACCATCCCCACCTCAGCTGTAGTTATCTGCAGTTCATCCAGAGTGATCATGGGCCTCTTGGCTGTATCTCTGATCAGTCTTCTCCTTGTTTGAGATGAAAGTTTGGAGGGACGGCCAGGTCTTGGTAGATTTGCAGTGGTCTGATACTCCTTCCATTTCAATATAATTGCTTGCACAGTGCTCCTTGAGATGTTTAAAGCTTGGGAAATCTTTTTGTATCCAAATCCGGCTTTAAACTTCTCCACAGCAGTATCCCGGACCTACCTGGTGTGTTCCTTTGTCTTCATGGTTCTCTCTGCGCTTTAAACAGAAACCTGAGACTATCAAAGAGCAGGTGCATTTATACGGAGACTTGATTACACACAAGTGCATTCTATTTATCATCATCAGTCATTTAGGACAACATTGGATCATTCAAAGATCCTCACTGAACTTCTGGACTGAGTTTGCTGCACTGAAAGTAAAGGGGCCGAATAATATTGCACACCCCACTTTTCAGTTTTTTATTTGTTAAAAAAGTTTAAATTATCCAACAAATTTCATTCCACTTCACGATTGTGTCCCACTTGTTGTTGATTCATGACAAAAAATTAAAATGTTATATCTTTATGTTTGAAGCCTAAAATAGGGCGAAATGTTGAAAGGTTCAAGGGGGCCGAATACTTTCGCAAGGCACTGTAATCCCACTTTGCCTGAAGGCCCTGCGGAATAATCAAGGCTCCTGTGGACTCGCCGCCTGCAGGTGGATCAGTGAGGGGCTGGTGCTATGTGTACTGGCCTGGGTGCATCTCTGATTGCCACCCCCGACCCAGAAATAGATTAAGGTGAAGAAAATGGTTGGATGGATGGATGAGGTTGTTTAGAGAATGTTTATCAAATAAAAGTCCTTCTTGCAGGCAGACTTCCAAAGCATGTCCACACGACAACAAATATACTACACAACTGCTTTTTACAAGTTTAAGCTTGTGTTGTTTTGTTGGAAGTCAAGAGTAAAAATGTATTCTCATGATTGAAAGTCCCTTGAGGGCGGTAAGGGGATAGCTATGTTGCAGACTTTTGAAGCTGCTGAGATAATACCTTTTATACCTTTTTATGAAATCTATTTTAAATTATATTGCATCATCTTCCAAATCTCATTTTAATTATTGTGAATTAACCTTGTGGTAACCATGAGTTTTAGAATGACTTGTAATGAGAAAATATATTGTTTTAAAAGTAAGTTGTATAAACATGTTGCATTAATACCAGAAGGCCAACACCATGAATAGAATGATGTGGAAGTCTGATGGTATCAGTAACAATGAGACATGTGGCAGGGCAGTATAACTTACAAGGGCAAAGTTTTACATCGTGCTACTTTTAAGAGTCACTTAACACTTTTATTTCGGGTGACTTTTTGACCAATTGACAACAGCATAGACTGCCATACAGCAGGCTGTATTCTCACCATTTGTGCTGCCCATGTCTTTGCCTAGCTTTGTAACAAAACTATAAAATTTGATCTAACTCTAACCCTAGTCCTAAAATCAGTTTACTCAGTGTCGAATTAGAGATCTACTTTCTTAGAATTAAGTGTTGGATTTAATTGATAAAGTTAAGTAATGTTAGCACTTTTCCACATACGTAACTGAGGAAAAACTTCTTTCTTACAATGTTCTGTGGTATCTTAGCAAGAAAGCCCTGAATTAAAATCCCAGTGGTGTAGGGTTTGCATGTTCTCCCCGTGTCTTAGGTTTCATGTAAAATAGCCCCATTAGGTTAAAGAGAGACAGGAAAGAGCAGCAAACCTGCATTTTGACAGGGAGCCGGCAGGTCTCCAAACCGTAATTACTTGTTTATTGTGCCATCACTGACATTTCCCTAAAGTTTTGTCCAAATCCTCCAGACCAGGGGTGCTCAATACATCGATCGCGATCTACCAGTCGATCGCAAAGGTAGTATTGGAAGATCGCATTACATGAAAAAAAAAAAAAAATCAGTTTATGCATTTGCATTTAGACAGAGATAAACAGTTTTGCGTTTTTGCACGCCACAGTATGCCCCCAAAACAACAACAACAACAAACAAAAACGTGCGACCTCTGATCACTGAAGCATGGATCATACTGCCTAAAACCAAAACAGGAGCTAAACCTGGATCAAACCAGGGCTGAGGACTGGGGTCAATGCTTGTAAACATATGTCTTCACTATGGATCTATAATAACACGTCTTCACCCTGAGTTTCTACTATGACTAAGTGCCGCTACAGAATGAATCGGTGCTTAAATGCAAATTATGTCATAAATCATGCAGTTTTGCATGTACATCAACATACATTGTAGATATAAAGAATCCTCAATATATTTAGAAATAAATATATGTTGTGCATTTTTGTAGTAGGTAGATCATTTTGACTTGATCATTTTATAAGTAACTTATAAATAAACTAAATAACTAAAATAACTTTATAAGTAAAGTGTGAGCACCCCTGCTCCAGACAAACAGCCAAACACTTCTGATCGCATAACCTCCGTTGTCGGAGAATCCTCCGGGTACTCCGGTTTCCCCTACCACTAAAAACATGGACAATACTGTAGGTCTGGCATGTGCCTCCTGTACTGTCGACCCCGCTTCCATCTCTGTGTGGAGTGAGAAGACAAATGCCCAAGAATAACAATTGTAAACCGCTTTGTGACTCTGGTCTGTGAAAGACGGTATATAAATAAAGATTACTTCCTTACTATTACTTACTTAGAATAAATAACATTACAACTGATTTAGTATGTTTCATGCTTCAAATTATTACTACTTTAAATATTAATTTTCAGTGAAGTTCAGGGTTAGTTTGTTTTTAGTTTGATTTGGGGTTCTCAGCCTAAAATATTTGGGAACCCCTGCCATAGAGAATTGATTTACTTGGCCAAGCACTTGACTTTTTTGTCACTATCTCTGTTTGTGCTTCCCAATAGTCAATGAGCATTGCTTAAATGACATAACATGACGATTTCTCTGCTTTCAAGCATGTATCTCTGACAGCGGTCTTCTTGATGCCTAAAGTCACCACCTTTAAGAAGATGGCTATTTGCTGCCAATAGTAAATGTAACATTAAGCCTTGTTTTGACAGGGGCTGATGCCGGGTTGGCTGGCCGAGTGCTTGTGATTGTCTGATCAGCAGTTCACAGAGCTGCTGTGCCAATGGCTGCCTCTGCAGCAGGGCACTGTGAATTTTAACAGAGCGGCGATGCTTGGCTTTCATCTCCTGGAGACACAACCCAAACCCGGCTTGTATAGTTATGGTGCCCCTACTGTCAACGTCATTCTGCTCGACATGGTTTCTTTTGCTTGTAATCTAAATAGTACGTATTACAAAGAGAGGAACTAATCCTCTCAGGATAAGATTTTGTCTATATTATTTACATTAAAGGTTATTCTTGAATATCCTCGTACAGTAACTGCTCTCAATTTTGTATCCAATATTCCAGAGTAACTTTCCAAATTGTTTTCTATATGTAAAACAAAATGTAAGTAGAGCATTCATTCAGGTATGTGGGTTCTCTGTACACGAGTGTGACTGACAGCAACCCCTCAGCTCAGGCCCACCACATCTGTGCTTGTCCCGGTGCAGCAGAGGAAATGCATCCTGAGGAGTGAGAGATTGAAATCAACAAAACACAAGTTGGTCTTTGTCTGGGCTGCTGCTGCCAAAGCGAATGGGCCTGAGTGCTCAGCGCCGGCTCACAAATGAACCCTTCTAAAATAAGACGGGCTTCATATAGAGGATTAGGGCTCCTGAAAATTGTGTGTAGGGTTTTACAGATTTTGGTTTTTAAAGTTTCATTCCTGAAATGCAAACTATTCAATGTCCTTACAAGACATTATTGCAGACATCAAGCCACTGCACTTGAAAATCTGTAGAGATGGTGCCAAACAAATAGTTTTGAACTTATGGTGGTGAACTCAAGTAACATAAGTGTTATGGACTGTTCTGACCATTTGTTTGATGTATAATGCAGCTTGTATGCGTAATGGAGAAGGCCTTTTGAGTGACTTCGTCATAGGATCAGGCCTTTTGACTGTGATTCGATAAGATCCCCAATCAAGGTCCTAATAAGACACACTTTGTTCATTTCCAAACATAATGGGTATTATTTTGCGATTTCGAAATCTTCTTAAAGGACAATTCTTTATATAAATACAGTACAGTATGTTAACTTCTCAGGATGCACAGAATAATACCAGCTATGAAAAAAGGACAATGATATGTACATTGAAAAGCTTTAATTATTTTGAGCCAATGTCATCCCCGGCCAGCCAGGTCCATAAAATGTATACACACAAGCTGGAAAAATACATAAAATATAAAATATTGTACATAAATAATATTTACAATCAAGCAATGTGTGTATGGCTGTAGTAGGCTGAATATGTATTGCTTTGTACATGTAAAGTAAAAAGTAAATCCTTATGTACAATATATTACAAAAGAAAACATAGTTTTCTGTCTCAATATTTTCAAATCTTGCAAAGATACTTGGCTTAAATGTCTTCCTTCTTAGTCATCTGACAATGTATTTAAACCAAATCAGCACAGACACTATTAAATTGACAACTTGATAAGAGCATTCAACATATATGTAACATCCTCATATTGGCATTTAAGTGTCATCTCCATGACCAATAAAACCAGATAGACAAATACTGTATTTCGGTCAGATCAAAAGTAGTCTGAAGTTACTTTTCAGATGACTGCAAACACTCTGAAGGCTTTTCCGGTTGTAGGATTTAGAACTCTGCAAAATAAATCAAACAAATTGTCATTTTCAAGCTGCGATGTTACTTTTTGTTATTCCATGTGTTTTCATACGATTCTGAGGTGATGCCGTTCTGGTGACTGCCTTTGTACAGTCTCCTCCTGTCCACCGGCATCACATCCAGGTAGCCCCCTGATTCATTCTGGATGACTCCGGCATGGATCCCTGCTCGGCAAATACTGGATATCTGGACACAAAATCAGATCTTACTAAACAGGAAGATGGAATATAAACATACATACATATATTTGTATGCTTACATCAGAGTAATATTTAGTTCCAATTACTCGAACTTGACTTTGATGAAGACAGTTCCTAGGGCAATATAACCTGGAGGAAAAAAAGCAATAATGTCTAGTTCTCTCACTGTCCTCAACATTAATATTAATAATAATTAATTAATAATAAGACATAGACAAATAATATTAATTAAAAAAACAAAACGCTGTGTTCTAACTGATTATTCCCGGAGTATTTGAAAGTTTGTTGATGGAGATACATGAAATTCATAATTCAATTGTATAAGCACTGCTGCTGCAAACAGACGTGTCAAAGACTACAAGGTGTGAGGTTAAAGTATACTGTATTGTCCCTGTTGGGAAATGTATCCCCCGCCGTTCAAGGTAAGGCAAGTTTATTGTATATAAGCTCATTTAATGCAGCCATTCAATGTCAGTCTTTCTCAAATAATACACCAAACAGCTTATTCAATATTCCTCTCTGCTAATCTACGACACCCATATAGTTCATTATAATATTTATAAATTTGAATTATCAATATTTATATGAAATAATGTAATGGATGCATGAAAAAAGTAACAGAAAGTAATTGTAAATTAAAGCCGCAAGCGGCGTCGAATGGCCCTCGCCGCACTGGCGCACCAAGCCGCCCCACATTAAGCTGCACCAAGCCGCCATGCATCAAGCCGCCCCGCACCACGCCGCCCCGCACCAAGTGGATCTGCACCACGCCGCCCCGCACCAAGCCGCAACGCGCCGCTCCACAACGCCCCGCACTACGCCGCACCACACCGTACCACGCAGCACCGTGCAAAGGAGGTGGGGCCGCCGTGTGATGATTTGTTGCTGCAGCAATAGAAGAACGTTAGTCAAATTGTAATGAATATGATGATAAGAGCTGTTTGGCACCCCATGTAAAACTTTGCCTCAATCTGTAGGGGGCGCTAATGGGCCAATTTCAAATATTTCACTTTCACCGGGCCTAAACCCTTGAGTTGAACATTGGATTCAAGTTTTGTGCAAATCAGACTTTGTTTGTGTAAATTGGTGAAACGGCCGAGGAGGAGTCGCTTTCCAACCGACATGTATGAAAATTATTGCGGATCATTTTTCCATTTTGCAGTGAAATTTATGGGCTTCCTGTATGTCAGAGGGCGGAGCCATGATAACATTTTGGTCGTATCTTGACTTGAGGAACATGTGTACCGAATTTCATGGCTCTACGACAAACTTGACCTCTGAAACTCCCATTGGCTGTTGTAGGTGGCGCTGTTCTGGCATTTTTTGAGTCTCATAAAAATAAACACAAAAATATCAAATTTTTCACCAGGTCAGATGTTTGGACAAAATTTTGCAACTTTTCATGCATGTTCAGGGGGTGAAATTAAGGCTCAAAGTGCAGAATTTGACATCTCTCAAGCAAAAACAATAGGCCCTTTCCCCGTTCGGGGCTCGGGCCTAATCATTGCACAGGGCAAGGGCAACCTGTGATGATAAGTGGTAACTGCAGTGCTTAGTCAGGACTACCTTCACTGGAGTACCCAGAGGAAACCCATCCAGAGAAGGAGGACAACAACATGAAAAGTCCTCATAGAAAGGCCAGGGATCGAACCCACAACTCTCTTACTCAGGGACATGAGTGCTACCACCTCCAGTCACAACAACCTGTATTTGTCTCATATAGTATAGTATGGATTATCCATATAGTATGGATTGTGTTGGTTTAATGTACATTTCCCAATGTGTTACAGAAATTACCTCGGACAATGTCTGACAGGTTTTTTGAAAGGGCAGTATTGAGCAACAGTCGTGTCACAGATGACAGCCTTCACTGCAAGTGAGAAAAAACATGTCATTGAAGTTCAGCACAATGTAGATTAACAATTTTCTTTTTTTTTCCCAATACAAACAAAATGCTTACCTGGCACTTTCTCAACTTTAAATGAATTAGCACTCCTGTTCTTCCTGGAAATTAAACATGAACATATGAGTTTGAAGTAGTTGCACTATATTTGTTTATATAGCGCCTGAAGAGTTTGGTTGAATGAACATGTCAACACACCCTGTTGACAGAATCCCATTCTTGTATGATTTGGTGAAATGTGGTCTTCTGCCCAGTCTGGTCACGTCCAACCATCCGCCATCATTGTCAATGACTCCAGTATGTAGTCCTACTGCACATACACTGGATTGCTGCAAACCAGTACAGTATTACATTAAAAATATAAGAAAGTACATTTCAAACCGATTAATAGTTATATTATACTTACCATGTCATAATACCCGTTCCCAACAGCTTTACCAGGTGTGTCTAGGCAACCAGGTGGACATTCATATCTGGAAACCGCGTGTACTGTTAATAATGCTTCATACTGTATAAGACATACATGTCCAGGCCTATTATGTTATTTACCTGTTACAAGTCGTCCCTTTACACTGATCTCTCAACTTTGTGTCACACTCCACTTGTTGACCTGTTGAAGAGAAACACCTTCAGAAATGCCCTAGCAGAGAATGAGGTGTAATGTTGGAGCATGTTGCATGATGGGAGCAGTCCTTACTCATCTGCTCAGTGCTGACCACCTGGTTTCTCCGGGTGTTGTCATGACGAGGGGGGTCTGGGGACTGGGCCCGCGGCTCTGGCTCTGGCTCTTGGACCGTTTCAGGCTCAGGTTCAATGTAGTTGTTCTCTTCTAGCTCTGGGGCAGGTCGCCTGTCAACACCACCATCTGGCACAAAGCATTATGGCGTTAAACATTTTAAAATTACAATTTTAATTTGATGTAGTTTACCTTTGTAACAGAGGTTGTCCCTGCAGCCGCCTGCATAGCTGGCTGGACACTGGGAGCAGGGGGATCCATATTTGTAAGGAGCATGGCCCCACCAATTACCTCTAAAAGATAAGATTTACTGAGATAATGTCATAAAACATGTTTGATATTAATGTAAGCTGAACTCACGGAGGAGAATAGTTGCAAACGAGGTACACCGCTTTGGTCCAGATCATTCCCCACACATTCATGTTATAACAAATATTGATAGCACAGCCAATCCGATTACTGGTGGCCCACACTAACTGCGCAGCAAAAAGGGAAAAATAAGCGACTCCTCTTGTGGTTAGTAAAGAAAAACGATCTGCATTTCTGATTTGTATTAATAAGACCTCCACCTGAGTGTAGTGAGTGCAGACAGGTCCTGAGCACCTGAATGGGCAGTGCGGGTTACACTCCTGGGAGTAAGGGTAGCTGTAGTGCCTGACCTCATCATACCAGGCCTGCACGTGAAAGGTGGGAGGACGGTCTCTGAAAATATACATTTAAAAAATAAATATACATACATTAGCCAAGAGGAGAGATGCAAAGTACCAGGTTGTAGTAGCAGTGCTGTATTGTGCATACAATCTTTCGAAATAGTACCTGCCCCAGTGTGCTCCAAGGTTTTGTCCTATTTGTGTGAGCATGTGACTGGGGCCATGCTCCCAGCGACAGGTGTGTGCCCAATGCTCTGCACTCCGCTCCAACTCATAATCCCAAACCTGAGAAGCCAACGGAGGGAAATAGAATTAAAAGGCCATGTTTGTTTACAATACAATAAGCCATATGTCAAGTAAAACATATTTGAATTATAGCAAAAAAACACATTTAGAAGACTATTTGTTAGCAAAAGCCCAAGTTGAATTAGCTCCCACCTTCACATACAGTATTTGAATAAGACTTAGGTAGTACCCTGAATGACCTGCCTTTGACTGAAGTCCCTCGAATGAGTTCGTTTTAGTTTGTTTTTCTTGTAGATTAAGTGGCCTCGTATATATTGAATTATTGCCCATTACATTTTCCTAATAGCCACACAACCGCATCTCGAAATCTAATTCGCACAATATCTTTTGTACTTAACCAAACTCAAATAAACACACTGGAGGTAACCTGAAATTTGAACCTGCTTTTTAAAGTGTTGCGGCTGAGGACATGCCTTCTGCAAATTCTGCACACTATAGTCAAAACTGGGCCTCTCCTATTAAAAACACACATACACGAGAGAGAAATATCAGCATTGCTTTAGCTGGCAGCTTTGTGCCACTATGGCTTGTGGTGTTTTAAACTACGTTTCCAGTAAACTGTGGTTGTATTGCATAACTTTAAATGTGCCGAACAATAAAGGAGCCTTGTACCGTTAAAAACCTTTCTGGCAATGGTTTGTGACAAGCTTACTTATATCTGAAGAAAGAATAACACAACATTTCTCAAGACTATTTTGAGGTAGATGTAGCATAAACTATGTGAAAGTGAAAAGAATCGGCCCTCTTGCATTATAGCACAAACACATCACATGGAATAATGCTATTTCGTGGTTTAGGTTACTCATTTGTGTCATTCAACTATAATCAATAATAAATATGTATCAAATGAAGTTTATTTGTACTGCACAATTGATCTTGATGCTTCTTTTCTGTAATTTCACAAATGTACGTTTATTGGGGCAGGTCATATGAGGTGTCGGTCTTAATGAGAGATTTAACCTGGAAACACCTCAGCCTTCCTCAGCCAATAACAACATGAGCCTCAGAAGTCCAAAACCTCCCAGATTATCCTCAAAACAAAGATGTTATTGGGTGTCACGTTTGCTGCTACACTCAACATCTGCAGCTTAGCCGCACTGAAACTTTTGAGGATAGTGAACTCCAAGATGTGTGTGTTTAACTCAGGGGCCTGTGGGGGTGTCCTTTTAGAACAGGCTGAGACCAGAGTCAGGTCTTTAGTCACATAAGAAGCTTCAAACTGCTTATCAAAAGTGGAAAAGAAATGAGGTTCACAAAATAACGTCATATTTTTAAGCAGTATTATTTAATTTAGGTTATTGAAACTGTTAATGATATGGACATTAGAGTATTCCAATTCTTCTTATCTCATGCATCATATTGCATTTCATCACAACATATTTTGGTGTGAGCATAAAAAGGCAAATTTATTCTCATGAAAATAAGGATGTGCTTCATAGTTTCTCTGGGACGATGTTCCCTTTGGCTCTGCTGCATGCTTTAACATCACTGGGGCATTATGTCAGGAGAAATCAAGTAAGCTGACTAAATCGACCCACATGTTATAAGTAATAATATTCTTTTTGATAATTACTTTTACCCGGTATTATTTTGATGTACTGATTCTCTTAAGTTTGACTTCATGTTTGTCCTGTTTAACACTAGGACCGCCGTGCTCTAAACATACCTTGCACCGCCCCCTGCGGTCAGTTGACCGCTATGTATTTTGCGCTGATACAGCCTTTTGCCAAATTGATTGTTCACTAAACCAGAACTTGATGTTGCAAAGGAATCGTGATCATAATGAAACTGTGTAAATTATTTGTCTAAATATGCTAAGTAATTGTAATTCTAGCCGAAATAAAAGACTAAGACGACACATTGTGCGTGTACTGATCCATCAAAATTACGATGACTTTTCTGGCTAGATTTATTTTTGTAACTTTGCAAACACCTAAAAGGTTGGTCACTATATGTTATATTTGACTCAGTAACAATATGTAAATTCAAACAATATAAATTATAGTTTAGAAAAGCACGGGACCATAACGTCTTCGCGCTGCTATATGCGTCTACTTCTTACGTCATCTCCAGACTGTTTTCTCTTTAGAGGCCGAAATCACCGTGGGAAATATTATCTAGATAATAATAATAGTATTCGTATTGACACAAGATCATCAGCTATGGCTACCATCGTCAATTTAAAATCTTCAATTTTACACGGGACACGTTAGAAAGACAAATATATGCATATATATATTTGTATTTATTTGAGACAAGCAGTGCTCTTTATGCTCAGAACAAAATTATAATCATTGCCTTGCAGTGCGCGCTGTGCAGAATAACACACAGTGTTATCTGGATGAAATCAGAATTATATCCTTATTGATATATGAGGGCCGCCTCTGCCACAGTCGCTCTCCTCCTGCAGTGTCCGCGGGTGACGAGCACTCTGATCTGCACTCTGCCTTGATAGTTCATCTAATTGTTCTATTTTATTGCGATATTGTATTCTGCTTTATTGCCTTCTTGTATGTATAAATATATATAATGTAATTGATGATGAATGAAAAGGCAGAATGGAGCGACAGCGCGCACACAGACACTGCGTATGGCTGGCATTACGAGGGTCATGTGAGTTATTGCTTCTGGACTTGTTACAACACTGCTGTCTGTGCCGTGAATGCACTATGGGTTTACGTTCAGATTTAGAATATTATAGGTGTTCTCCCCGCTGTCACTTTCTACCTCAAAATGTGACATCTCACCTCCGTCAGACTGTTCTCATTCAATGTTTTGAAGCACTGTCAGGGCTTCATACCGTGTACTTGCAGCTCTATTCATTTTGTACTCCTCTCTCTCCCAAATAATAATAAAAAAGTCCCTTTAGAGTCTAATGACAACATATTGATACATTTTTATAAGGCGCGAAAAACCCCCGGGAAAGGTTACTATGACAACAGTCGCCCCTGCGCCATGTATCTCTATGGGGCAGCAGAAAGGGCTGTGGTTTAGAAAAGTTAAAAATGCGTGTAAATCTTGTTTTCTTTACTTTTTCCAAAACCAAAACACACCAAAATATAAACAACAAGTACCCAGTAAAAGTCATAAAATTTCAACTTCTGGCGTTTTGTTTTGAATACACTAATTAGCATAATAAAGTGAGTGACGGTCAGTTGACCGCTAGGGGCGCTCCTAGTGTTAAACCTGGTTGGCTTATGTTGTTGGTCCATTATGATTTCTTCTCGGATTTTGGTTATATTCTGGATTTTATTTTTTTTATTTTTTTAAACTTCTATTCTTGCAGTTCTCTCTGCATTTGTGACATGGAGTTAGTTATAGCCACAAAATGTTTAAAATATTTGGACCTTTTTTCAGTGGAGTTTTTGGTGTTACCATATAATTATCATCAGTAAAAGTATCCCTTGCTAAAGAACACAGGATTAGTGTATGTAACATGCATTTACACTTCAAATACTGAGGCTGCCCGTGTTTGAAATAGATTCACCAATGTGGCACCTGAAATGAGATGCAGAGGATCAAATAAAGCACAACACTGCACTATGCCAGGGGGCCGGAGTGTGCTTGGATGGATGGGTGGTGGCGGTCGGGGTCTGGGGGCCGTGATGCCCAAAAGAAAAGGCAAAAGTCATGAGAGAGAAGATATGTGGAGTGATGGAGTGAGCAGGAAGAGAGGGAGGGAGGGATGGTGGTTGAGGTAAAGGGCCCGGGCCACAGGGGCTGCTGCAACTCCATTTTAGTTATAAAAAGAATAAAATAGTTCACCTGGTTGCAATTAATCATATTTCAGTCCCCCTGCATCTTATTTAATCTCTCTGTAATTAACTAAAATATCAATGAACTTTTATGGATGGTTGAAGATCTGTTGAAGAATGGGCTGCTGCTTGTTTAAGCTTTGTGGGTCAAAATTACTCACCTCAGATGATTCAAAGTAGATGAAAAGGACCCAGGGCTGGTCAAGTTAGAAAAAATCATCCAAATTCAACTCAACATTTAATTCAAATCACTGTGGTGAGAGAGCACAAGGGTCATAGCCCACTACTAATTGTGCAAAAAATATATAATTATTTAAATTCGCATTAGAAGGTAAAATATTGATATAATGGGCTGCAATATCATGTTTTTTTCCTTCACGCCTCAGTAATTTTGCTTTTTTTTGTTGCATTATTTAAATATATATTCTGTATGTACTGTGCTTATTATTATTATTATTATTAGACTCTGAAATTTGTTCCCTACTATTGTGTTGTTGTTGTTTTGTTATGAATTATGTTTTTCAACTTAGGCATTGGCATATGGCACACACACAGAGACGTTCCTTGCTTTTTAGATGGATAACGCATTTACTATTGACAAAAAATATGAAGATTGAGGAATAGAAAGCTATATATAGAAATTATTTAGTTATTATTACTTCATATTGCTCATAACACTGGGTAACAAAAAAATATTTTTTTAAATAGTCCAGGGTTTTTCAGCTGAATTAGACTAATTTTGATGCTCTGAGTCCGAAAATGACCTTGGTTTTGCTCAATCAGGTCAGGATTTTTTGCTACAGAAATATTTTTTAAATCGATTTTGCGTAAAAAACATTTCTGCGGATCATCAGCTGAGAAACCCTTGCGTTTTTTCCGTTTTCCTCAAGGAAGAAAAGTCAACGTATCCAAAGTCATTCAGTTTTTATTTACTCCACCAAATTTGATAAGCAGAATTCATAATAACGTAGACGTAAGTAATCCGTAACACTATGGCTGTATCTCAAAAAGTTGACCTGATGCAAATGCATGTGATATTCGGACTCAGAACACCAAAATTAGTCTAAATCAGTTGAGAAACCTCTGACCATTTTTTGGCTGTCAACTTGTGTAATTATATACATATGAGCTCTTTGGAGTATTATTTTGAAGTGCATATTACTTACCATAAACTCCATATTAGATGCAGGTGGATGCACTTGGCCACGCAGCTTGTTGTGCAGGTCCAGAATGAGGTGCATGTCTCCTTCAGTGATGGCTCTCCTGCCTCTCGAGCGAGCCTTCCACCACTCCTCATCCTTATCCCAGTACTTGTCCAGAATAGATTCGAACCGTGGGGACTTGGTGAAGACCATGGACATAACAGTATGGCTCAAACACAGGAACAAGCTGGCCACTCTGATCCAGCCCTCAAAGAGAAAAGTCATTGTGGAGAAGTGATGGTGCTGATGTTGTAAGCTTGTCTGGAAAATGAGAGAACAAAATGAAAAGAGACGACCAATATTTCTTTCTCTTCATGTTAAGTCCACCTCACTTGCACATGTGAAATAATTGACTGCTTCACATTCATTCTCAATGGTTATGTTTTTGTTTTTTTCCCCAGAATTGGTTGACAAAATGATCAAAAAATAATGCGCAATATATTCGGCAACATTCCTGACATTGAAGTTCCATTTATATTCGACAAGCACGTGATGGACCTTCCACCTACCAACTCACATAGAGCACCTTTAAAGTCCGTATTGAACGCTACACTAAAACAAGATGAACTTGAGTATGACTTACTTTGCAAGTCCTTTGAGCTCGTTGAATACTCCAAAAGAAAGATGTTAAAATGAAATCTTCTGATGGGACATTATTCCGTCCATCACTCAAAGCAAAACGAAGCAGGAGTTGGGCATGCACGTCCTCTGCTGTTCACTGCACAAAGCCTCAGGTCGTTTGTTGCGCTGCGAGATGCGCGTGGGACAGGACCATAGACTCTGAGCCACGCCCCCACGTGGTCCATGTCGTTTCCACACACCATATAGAAGTACAATGCACACAAGCATGAGGAGAAACAGGGGACTGTGTCTCGGGTGAGGAGTCTTCATAGGGCTGTATAATTTAATGGGGTATAGTTGAAGTGCGCTTTTTTTATGTTTGTGGAATAGGATTATTTGAGAAACAAACTCATCCCATTCATATAACCATATTCTGTAACGATGTATGTTTCTGAGGCTCTGCTGTTTCTCTACGTTCTGCTGCTGCCGCCCTCTGGTCAAAATTGGCACTGCACTATGATGCGAAGATTCCAAAGAATTATTTGTTTTATCATCAAAATATAAGATTATACAAACATGTACACACAGGTACAAAGGAAAAAAGAACACTAGCTGAACTAAATTAATCAATTATGCACCTCTTTTAGGCCTATGTAAATTGAAGGATAATGTTATCTTTTGGGACAGATGTGTCATGATTTTTAGAGCCAAGAATGATATCTATTGGAATACCCTTTCAAAATCTCCCTGACTTGGACAGGAAGACTATTTGGGATGCTTTACTCCAACAAATCCAACTAAACTAGACCTGGTATAGACTATTCAACATGAAATGCATACCTAACCAAACCTGCACTGTACTGTATTGTGCCATGGTTTCTACACATTGGAAGCCCCCTTCCTTCACTGTCTCTTCAACACTGGATAATGACTTTTGATGACACTCTTTACTACACAAATTAAAAGCAAACATTGAAAAGTACCATCACAGAGTTCAAAAAACCAATTCATTTTTACATGGGGTTGATAATGGCGCTATGTGAATGCATTTTGCGATAAAGCAAGCATGCAGTCATGAATATAATCATAAGTTTAAATGTCCAACAATAATATAATTTCAAGCTAATTATTTCTAGAAAATAAACAAATCAAAGATTATACTCTAAACAATGAACCCATAATTGATAATAGTTGGTCTACCAGTGAGCAATAACAAGCCTTTCTTACCATATGGACCTTGGGGTAAGAATCAGCCTAAAACAGTGATGACTATGAAGTGAATATAACACATCTGGGATTAATGATGGATTATTGTACCCCCATAACAACAGGGGATACTCGTGGCTGCCTGCCCATAATCCAAGCTAACGTGGGGGTACACAAAGTTGGGAACCCATAGACATAGACTATTATGGTTTAATGTATTTTTTATGTATTTATTGCAGTACACCAGAGTGGTCGGGGGTGGCGCTGTAGTCCACTTCCCCTGAGCGCACGCCTCAGCCTCATCTGCTTTTCTGTTTGGTTTCTTTTGAGAGGATTATGAAGAATAAAGGTGGGGCGCATATTGTGGAGTTTTGAGTAGAAGAGATATTAACGCTCAGGCTGTCACGGAACGCTCATGGCAGAAGCTAAAACTCATGTCGAAACTTTATGAGTGGATGTATTTTTTCCTCCTCAGTCAAGAAGTTAATGGCAACATTTTGATCACTGGGAACAGAGATGGTGCGCAAATTCTTGTTGCCTGTCGGTGAGTGGGACTTTATCCAATCTCACATTTTATTAGAGAAAAAAAAGAGAGTAAATCTGTGAAATTGAGAAATGCATCATGTTTTAAGTTATTCTCTTTTTTAGTTATAGCAGCAAGTTTTATCTCACCAGAATTGTGTGGCTCCACAGCAACTAAGAAGAAATCTCAAGGTAATAAATGAAGACAATACCTTTAAATGCATTGCTGTGATGGTAGTCTGCTACGTGTAGTCTGTGTATAAAAAGGCTGGAAAAGCAAAAGGCCAGGTGATGAAATATACATAGATGATTTATATCTGAGGTAAAGAAAACAGTTTGTTTATATCAATAGTTTTCACATACATTTATGTTTAGCAAAGACAAAGAATTATCACTCAGCCAATTTATTTATATATATATCAAAAAACATGAGCTCTATATAATTTTCCTAATAAACGTTCTAATTTTTGCAGTGAAGAACAACTCAGGTGTGACCCCAGCCGGTCAGTGTGGCACGTGGATAAAAGAATCCAATGGAGGCTACTTCACCTCCCCAAACTATCCGGAGCGATACCCCCCAGAGCGGGAGTGTGTCTATATAATTGAGGGTAAAATGTGTGTGATTCAGATACAACCGAGTTTGCCACCGTATCGATGTTGCCTCTAAAACATCGAACGGTACCGGTGAATTGGCTCTATGCCTGACATGAATATTAGTGATTATTAAACATAACATTGTAGTGTAAAACAATATATTTCTAGTTGTTTATTGTAAGTACAGTTTCATTACTAGTCTTAATATCTGGCTTTTATATTTTTGTTTTCCTTGATACTTGTGCCAACCTTACAAAAAAAAATTTCCACAGCGGCTCCCCGTGAGTGCGTGGATTTGTTCTTTGATGATAAATATTCCATTGAGCCGTCGTGGGAGTGTAAATTTGACCACATCGAGGTGCGGGATGGACCCTTTGCTTTCTCACCCATCATTGGCCGCTACTGTGGGCAGGAGATTCCCACCTATGTCCGCTCCAGTGGCCGCTACCTGTACATCAAGTTTGTGGCAGACGGAGAACTCGAGGCGACTGGGTTTTCTGCACGCTATAACTTCACCCAAGGCAAGTGACATTTAATAAGTGATAAGATAAGAGAACCTTTTGTTCACCCCAGTTCACAATTTACAATGTGTACAATACCAGTACACAAGGCAAACTCACTGAATGTTGTTAATTTATTTATGTTATTCAACGTAAAATGTGACACCAACATATATGATATAGACTCCACAGTGACATACATTGGGGCGACGCGGTAGCGCAGCGGTTTGAGCAAGAAGGTCCTGGGTTCAATTCCACGTCCAGGCCTTTCTGGACGTGGAGTGTGGAGTTTGCATGTTCTCCCCGTGTCTGTGTAGGTTTCCTCTGGGTGCTCCGGATTCCCCTACCACTAAAAACATGTACAATAGGTATGAATGTAACTATGGTGTTTGGCGTCTCATTTCCGTCATCACCGTGTGTGGAGAAAATGGAACTCTCAGCAATTGTAAAGTGCTTTGGTTGAGCTTGGTCTGTTGATTGCGCTTTATAAATACAGATGACTTTCTTTCTTACATATCAGTTTGTTATCATTTTAATGATTATTGGCCGCAAGACCATTTTCAGTGGCCCGTAAAATTATATTAATTATTATATTAAGAAGCTGTATTGATGGTAAAAGGCTACGATGGCATGTTATACCTCTTTTCAAATCTAATTGTCTCAAGAAAACAGCATATTTATTCAGAAATGTTTAGCCAACATGTAATTAAAAGTTATATTGTTAATTATATTTTAAAAATGAGTGTTCAATCACATATGGGCGGCACGGTGGCTGAGTGGATAGCACTCTCGCCTCTCAGCAAGAAGGTCCTGGGTTCAAATCCCGGTCGGACCAGGGCCTTTCTGAGTGGAGTTTGCATGTTCTCCCTGTGTTTGCGTAGGTTTCCTCCGGGTGCTCCGGTTTCCCCTACCACTAAAAATATGTACAATAGGTCTGGCCTGCTCCCATCTCTGTGTGGAGTGAGAGACAAATGCCCAATATTAACAATTGTAAACCGCTTTGAGACTCAGATCTGCAGTGAAAAGGCGGTATATAAATAAAGATTGCTATTACTACATATTTTCTTAATATTTGGTCCAGTTTTGGTTCAATCCACAGTAACGGAACAAATTTTGTTCAGAAAAATCTATTACGAAAGAATATCCAATCTAACTAATGTGAAACAAGTAATTCATCAAAATTAATTTATAATGTAAACAAATATTTATAATAAAAGATAACCACTTTTATACTTTTGGCCCTTAACCACCCCTTACCATTTTTATTTGGCCCTCAAAATAAATGAGTTTTACACCCCTGCTTTAGATGCTTTGATAATTATAAACATAAGAACAAATAAAGGCATCTCTCCTCGTGGGTAGTGAGTCTACTAGTTTCACGTTGTAAGTTGAAGTACAGAAGTAAATGGACTTTTGAACAATATAATTTTTTTTCTCCAAATTTCACCAGTATAACTACACATATTTTTTATCAGCTATTTGAAATATAACATTCTGTGAGGAACCTGGATCCTTTCTCTGTCCAGAGTATTACCACATATAATAAGAGTAAATGAGTGATCAGAGGCCAAATAAACAGATTCTGAATCTGAAACCACAGGGCCTCAGCTTCAGTCCAGCCATTTGTTTGTGTTTCAAAGTGTTCTCAGAAAGATTCAGTTTGAATTTTACGGAATTTGGAGGCATTTTAGAGAAAAAAGGGTTGGTTATTGTAAGGGTATAGTATAGTTATCCCTGCTATTTAATTTTTTTATCACACCTCTTGATAATGTTCAGATCCTTTGCAGTACAAGTATTTCTTCTACACTTAGACCATGCTTGGTCACATTGGTCTCACGCAGCTCTCCCAAAGCCGCAGCGCTCACAGATGGACGCTGGACTTAATGAAAGCTTGTCTTCAGGGGAATGCAGCTTGTCACCAGAGGCTTACGGGAGTCCGAGACTTTATAACCACCAGATTTTATTATAAGCCAAAGCCACCTTCATTGAAGATTAATCTACATCTCATGTCTAGATTACGAATGATTTCTATTTTCACTGTTCCTTCTTCTAGTTTTGTATCTATCATGTAATCATAACATATTTACTGCATAACCTTAACAGTGAAAGAAATAGAGGGCATCCCCAACTGTATTTTTATTTTAGTTTTTTAAATAAAACAATAATTCACTATAGTTTTTTTTTTTATAGCTTTTTTCATATCAAACAAAAAGTCAGTGTCACAACTGCCCATTTTAACCATGTTATAAATCTATATATCTATCTAAGATATAGGTCTCAGATTGTCTGACCTAGTCTGTCACTGGTCACAATATCAATTGTTAAAATCTCATATTTACAGCCAGGTTGGCAGTAGACTAATCTGTCCCAGACTAAGCTGCTATAATCTAAATTGAATAATCCGCACAAAGGTTTTCCACACAAATTTTCAAACGTCGGTCAAGTGTTTTGATCTCGGATGAGGACAGATTGACGACATGTAGATTATGTAAGATTTGTCCAGCTGCTTTCATCTTGCTTTGCAATATGTCTCTGTAATGTTGTTATTTTTATTCCAATAGATTTTTTTTTCATAGAATATAAGGAGCCAAAATGTCTTCTTTATTCACTACATTTTCTGCTAATTTAATGTTTTGTGTGTTGTTGTTTGATGTAATCTTAGTCAGATTATTGTTTATTTTTGTTTTACAATTTAGATCCAGAGTTTACAGAACTGGGATCCCTGCCGTCCTTACCTTGTATGTATGAATACCTCTTTTGCTTTCATAAATTAGGTTGTATGTATTCATGTGGTTTTCTATTTTGTTAGTTTGTGAATTTGAAATGAATGGACCTGAAGGATTTGTTGAGTCTCTTCAAATCACCAGGGAAAACCGAGCCTTACAAACTGAAGCTGTGGACTGCCGCTGGTACATAAAGGCTCCACCAAAAGCAAGGGTGTGACAGAAAAGTTATATAACTCTTATATGTGAGATGATTTCAGTTGAAAAATTTATTTTTCTCAATTTGTCTCTTAACTCAGATTTACATGCGGTTCCTGGAGTATGAGATGCACAATTCGAATGAATGCAAGCGAAATTTTGTTGCGATTTATGATGGCAGCAGTTCTGTTGAGCACTTGAAGAATAAGTTCTGTTCCACTGTGGCCAATGACGTGATGCTGGACTCTTCTTTTGGCGTGATCCGTCTCTGGGCAGACGAAAGAAGTAGGAAGAGCAAATTCAGAATCTTGTTTACAATTTTTCATGCACGTAAGAATTTTGTTTTTTTACACCTGTGTTCCTGTTGTCATGTTGTTATATTGTTCATCACATCTTATACATTTTATTTTTAGCTCCCTGTGATGACGGAACTTTCTTCTGCCATAGTAACATGTGCATCAATCACACTCTCGTATGCAATGGTATTCAAAACTGTGTCTACCCTTGGGATGAGAACCACTGTAAAGGTATAGTGGCCTTAAAACTCCATGACAATCACAAATATTTATTTTAAAATTGAATCTTGCTCCTCGTTGTTAGAAAAGAGACAGCCCAGTATACTCGACTCTCTAGATAATACCAATCTGACCATCATTGGTGTGACCTGTGGCTTAGTTGTGATCCTCCTCGTCATATCTGTCATCATTCAGGTCAAACAGCCAAGAAAGAAATATATAATACGCAGGTACGTTTAATCTCTTTGTTGTTTTCATTATTGTTATTTGACTGTATTCATATTTTCTCCCTGTATAATATACATCAAGGTCAAGCCACATCTCATAAACAGTACCATGCCTTTCCTCATAATGAAAGTTACTTCAAATAAACACAGCAGACTAAGGGCACTGCAGCCATAGTAACTTTTGCATCAATCGCAGAGACGCATACAAATGTAAAGAATTTAGTGGCCTATAAGCTCTTTGACAATCCCACGAGACACAAGAGAAAAAGACTTAAATGGCTTCAAATTTCGGGGAAAGGGAAAGCTGTCATATACAGTACGACCAGAGTAGCAAAGATTGTGTACTTTTGTCTTTCATATAACTCATGATTCTTTCATCTCCTCCGCAGAGATGATTTTGATCCTGCTCTGATGCACCCAGGTTTTGAGCCACCTCACTATGAGCTCTGTACTCTGCGGCGCGACCCATCTGGTGACCTGGCTGATGGTGCTCTCGTGGAAGACTTCCAGAAACTTCGCCGCACCTCTTCCAGATGTATCCGCGACCATCACTGTGGTTCCCAGCAGGGCAGCATGCATGGGAGTGTGCACGGCAGCCGTAGCAATTTGAGCATGAGGGATGACACCATAGATGGGGGGCTGGGGCCGCTGCCACTGCCGCCTCCAATGGTGAGCCAGCAGTCCCCTCTGTTGTCCCATCACACCACTCCCACAGGCAGAAGGAACATCTTGGTCATGAAGCACAGTTACTCACAGGATGCTGCAGATGGATACAGGGATGAAGAGGAAGAGGACAGTTTAATGATGGACAATGGACCGACCACCAGCAGCCGGCACTATATGCAGCAGCATCAACAAATTCATTCTAATACTATGTCTGGCCTTGACCACATAGTCCATCGCACACTGTCCAATGATTTCTAATGCAAACAGTCATTTCATTGTACCTTTAAAATATGTTTATCTTTATTGCCTCAAAGATGTCCCCTTGCCTCATAAACAACACTTTTTAGATATGTTATGCAAGATAATGATAATATTCTTCTTGTTAACTCCTGCTGGAATAAACCATTTATTTATTTATACAAAGTGTCTTTACTACCATGTCACTCACCGATGTTATAATAAATCACACTAAATGAGGAATGGTGCTTTTTTCTAACTTTTTCAGCGGAACTAATGAAATATTGTTCAGCCGGACATATTTTGACGACGCACAAATCACTTGTGCTCGGTTCATGTAGTTGCTATGTGATCAAATTTAACGTGTGTATTTCTCTTGACATTCGTCCTATTTATCTGACACTCCTGGACCACCATGCTTGTGTTGATACGATCTGTTTGATTGACCGGCTTCAGAATGTCACAAGAAGAGACATTCCTGGGAGTTCCATGCCACAATGACATCCAGCAGCCTAAACAGAGGAGCCGCCTCGGGCTCGTTGTGACGGGGTTCGTCGGGGGGTCACTCGTAGCTCTTTACGCGGTGGCGGCTCCGTTTGTGGCCCCTGCGCTGAGGAAGGTGTGTCTACCTTTCGTCCCCGCGACTACGGCCCAAGTTTCCAATGTCCTCAGTGCCCTTCGAGCCAGGACAGGGACTTTGGTGGATATTGGCAGTGGAGACGGACGCATAGTGAGTCATGTGCAGCGGGTTGTGTTCAGCAGAGTTTCAGTCGGGGGACAGGAGCAGATACAACTCCATCCAAAATAAGTTTGTTTTAAATAAACAAATGTCCAAATATTTTCCCAGATCATAATTTGATTGTGATTGACAAACCATCAATAATAGTCCCGGTTACTGGTCAAATTGTCACCTTTTATGAGAAAGTAGTTAGACCATAATTGTACAAAGTGGAACCATGTGGCTGCTTTTGTTTTCACATGTTTTCATGTGGATTTTCTCCAAAGACTAGAAGTCTGACTGTTGACACTTATCGTATATTTTTTTATATTGAGAGTCACATGAACGCAACCTATTTTAAGCATGTGTGTTGTACAGACTATATTGTACGGATACAATGTAATAAGGTATTATTACTCATTACTTTCTGCCTTGAACTTCCAGGTGATAGCAGCGGCCAAGCAAGGCTTTCGGGCATCAGGCTTTGAGTTGAACCCCTGGCTGGTGTGGTATTCTCGTTACAAAGCTTGGAAACATGGCGTCCATCACACAACGTCTTTCCACATATCTGACCTCTGGAAGGTAAATTTGTAATTATCAAACATCATCAAACATGAACTGTCTGCTAAGACATTTTTTTTAAATTAATTCACAGGTTAGTTTTGCGCAGTACCCCAATGTTGTCATTTTTGGAGTTCCCCAAATGGTGAGTTTGACAAATAGTCACTAAAACTGGATTTTTCTTAACGTGTACTGTACTGTGCTTGTTGTAGATGGAAAGGTTGGAAAACAAATTGTCCAAAGAGCTGCCCAGCACAGCCAAAGTGGTGGCTTGCCGATTTCCTTTCCCCACTTGGATCCCTGAACAAACTGTGGGGGAAGGTATAGACACTGTGTGGGTTTACAATGCCAAGACATTCAAATGTCACGAAAGGACAGTATCTGCACAGAGCCAACATGAACATTGAAAAACATGACCCTGATATAACGTTAGGGGTAACAAAAGCCCTAACCACTATGATGTTTTTTAATCATGCCTGGGTGCTAACCGCACTATTCCCCATGAATACATCATTATGTTTGGAAAAAAGTGATCTACTAATCACTTACTAAAAAAGTTTTTTTTTTATATTTTTGTTGTTGTAAAATCCTTGAATTAAATTAATGTAGATTCACAGTGTCAACCTAAATGAGGGTGTTCAAATTAAAGTGAGCCTTAATAAGGGTGTTCCAATTAAAGTTAATTCTAGCTCTAGCCATTATGCTTTGATGAGATGTGAAAGCATATGTGGTCCCTGCCACATATGTCAGCTCACTTCTTTGGAAACAGGTCAGGGGCGTTATGAGGATTGTTGTATTCGCTTCTCTCAATAAATGTTTGTTCTGTAAGAAGTACATGTGCAATGTGACATGGAGTGCTTCTGAACAAAATGTTAGCCCTGTATATTTTTTGTATTGTCTGAACCTATTATTTTCACATGATTGGTAATGCAACTGAAACTGTCAATTCTCCTAAATGTCAGCATTCAGAGGCTCACACTAACCCACACCTAAAATGTAGAAGTTGTGTAATTACAACGTTGTCCCCTGAAATTGAACAGCCCTGATGCTGTGTATTCATTTGCATCGCTCTTTAGGCGCCATCTAGTGGACAGATATGGCACTGTTCCATGTAGCAACAGAGTCCGCTAGCTGCTGCACAATGGCGTGAACAGGCAACTAACCAGAGAGTATTGAGGTCTATCATTTGATTGAATACAAATTCAGAATAAAACACACGGCATGTCTTTGAATAGATAGCTAACGGCCGCAGCGTGTTGATCCAACTGAGCAGATCCTCTGAAGCCGTTGCAGTGCAAGATGGACACTGCCGATGAAGGTAAAATGTTAAAACTTTATTTTATGTTGCCACTATGTCAGACACATTTTACTACATACCATACTTTATACAGTGTGACAATGTATTCCAGAAATTGTATGGAATTTGTTAATATCACGGGAGGCTTGGATAAGCTTGTGCTTTAGATGAAATTGTTGAAATGCCCCGCTAGTTTAAAAGGACCGCACCGCTAGCCAATTAGCTTTAGCGGGCTAGCTAAACAGCTCCTGATATATGCTTATAGCACCTTCATACCATTTGTATTGCAACTCTTGTTGTTTCAAAAGTGTAGCCAGAACTTTGGTGTCGACCCAAACTATCATCCGTTAGTTCATAGTTTCCATCGGATTATTCCATGATACTACATGGAATGTGTGTATGTTGTTCTAGAAATATCTTAAAGTGTGTTTGCGTTAACGCCAGTTAAAAAAGAGGCACACCCATTCAATGTGGTGATAAGATTACCATACATACAAGTTTAATAAAGAACATATGTAACGTTCATTCCCAACTAGCGTTAAACCCTGAGATTTAGGCTGCGTTGTACAAATTAGCGTTGATTCAATTGCAATACAAGATCATGGACCGAACATCTCTCCAAGCTAGCATACTTGCCCGTGTTTGTAAAGTGATCTAAGTATAGCAGAGTTTATTTTGGTCATAGAGTGACACAGGTAATCCAAGGATTAGAAAGTTTATGATTCATGTCCCTCTGCTCTGTTTAAACAGTGTTGTAATGTTATTCGTTGGACTCACTTTGTAGTCCATACATTATAATTACATAAGATATATTATGATTTTTAAAAAATGCATTCAAATCGCAATAGTTAGTAATATTTGTAAGCAGCCAAATAGTGCAGGTTTTGTATCAAATACAAAACGTTTGTTTGTGAAGTAACATTTGGTGAACCATCAGACAACAACCTAAGGTCTTTAGCTCTCATTTACTTAGAACTGATGGAGTGAGGACTGGTATTTTATTGTCTTTTTTGATTTAGATGAAATAAAGATGACTGTTATTTATTACTATTACTAAATCTGTTTCAACAGCAGATATTTGCCGAGTTTGTCGATCTGAAGGCACCCAGGACAAGCCTCTCTACCATCCTTGTGTCTGTACAGGAAGCATCAAATTTATACACCAAGAATGGTATGACCTGTTTCTTTATACAATGTTGACCCACATCTATTTGGAAAATTAACAAACTCTTGTCTGTTATGCAAAGTCTTCTCCAGTGGCTGAAACACAGCAGAAAAGAATATTGTGAATTATGTAAACATCGCTTTGCATTTACACCAAGTATGTTTAATTTATTCTAAATGTACTGTATGTCCCTTTCTCACAACTGTCTAATGTTATTTTATTTGTTTTAAGTCTACTCTCCAGATATGCCGCCGCGGTTGCCTGTACAGGACATCTTTGCAGGGCTGGTCACAAGTGTAGGGACTGCCATCAGATACTGGTTTCACTACACTCTGGTGGCCTTTGCCTGGCTTGGTGTTGTGCCTCTAACTGCATGTAAGATGCTCCAAATTCTATAAAGTGGGACTAGGCCATTATTTTATAGTTAAGTTTATTTTTCTTTTATTTTAATTAAAAAAAGATAATAAATGGGGTTGGAGTTGTTAGATTGAATGATGATTTTAATCACATTCATTAGATGATTTTAAAGAGTTATTAGAGTTCTTGCTACAAATTTTGCACTGTACATATCTTTATTTAACCAATAATGTGTTTAACAGACCACATGTGTATTGACCCAACCTTTCTGTTGATTATAATAGAACTCTTTTTAAATATCACTCAATAAATCAAATATCATGCAAAGCCATAATGCTGTTTATTTTCTTCACAGGTCGTATTTACAAATGTTTATTTACTGGCTCCGTGAGCTCTCTCCTTACTCTACCATTAGATATGCTATCAACGTAAGTATTGATCACCACTGTTTTCATTCACTCACACTTCATATTTCCTAATCAGCAAAGACCCTTGCTCTCTCATTTATTGCAGATATGCTTAAACAGAATCATTATTTTATTAAGGAAATATGATTTAATCTGAAAAATTTACCAATAAAACAAACTATAGTGTATGTAACTCTTATGGTATATTTCATATGTCTCTTAACAGACAGAACCTGCTTGCTGATTGTCTACAAGGTTGTTTTGTGGTCACGTGTACATTGTGCGCCTTCATCAGTCTTGTGTGGCTCAGAGAACAAATAGTCCATGGCGGGGCCCCTCAGTGGTTAGAACAAAACCCTGTCCCCCTGGTGCCCAACCCGCCACATGGACCAGCTGCAGCCAACGAGGTACATGTTTTGAAATGTGCCAGTAACACAATCAATTGCTCATTGAAAATCAGGGTACATAGGTAAGTTAGTGAGTTGATCTTTATTTTGACAACACATTTCACATTTTTCCATTCACTCCACACATGGTGATGACAGAAGTCGTACAGCCGACCTTTAGACCATCACCAAATGTGGCTTATAATCAAATGTATAATTATTTGGACTTGGAAAACGATTGCACTACATTAACATTTTGTTTTTATGTTTTTCATTTTGTCAGGATGGCAGAGGGAACGGTGCAGAGAACGGTCCAGTTGGTGCTGATGCTGCTGATGGTCAGAACCCTGCGGACCCAGCAGCGGCGGACCCACATCAAGCCGGTCACCTTGGAGACGAGGCTGAGCTGGAGGATGAAGACGATGATGATGATGATGACGATGATGATGATGGAGATGAAGATGATGAAGAGGTCAGAGAGGAGGGAGCAGCAGAGGCCAATAACGGAGGACAAGGTGAGTGGATATTATTAGAAGTGTATTTTTGAATAGATAATTTGTTTTCTCGCATTTTTTTCTTACAGTGTGAAGTTTCTCTTCACACCGAGAAAAAGCTAAAAAGGTTATTCCTTTTTAGCTGCAATTATTAGAACCTTTTTGAGTGTGGCACACTTTTTTCATTGAAAAAAATCACATGCTGAAACTGATACAAAAATACACAATGCAGTCATTCTCATCAAGGTGCATAATACAGAAAATCAAACAAGGCAAAAATAAAAAAAAAAATATATATATATATGTTACTTTCCAATGCCACAGCATTAAAACATTTATTTGATTTGAATAATTGTTTTCCCGTTTTATTTTCTTATGTCATGAAGGTGTGCATGTACAGTATATGTGTCTATGTATATGTAATGTATTATTGAAATTTTCACACCCACTGAAAATTTCACAAAAGAGAAAAAGTTTATTGCCAACATTTATTTACCCAAGATAATGTAATGGCTTCAAGCTGATTTTTATTTTAAACAAATATGTTCATTTCAAAAAATTAAAACACCTCTTTAAAAAATGTCACTTGAACAATGGCCATGAAATATAATGTGTCAAGCGGTGTTTATATGTAAACTGAAGCGTGGTAATATTGTTATGCAAGTAAAAAAAGCAAATCCCATGTGAGTTTTGTTCATAAACAATGGCAGAAAAAAGTTTTTGATTCTTCTGCTGTGCTTTGGTTGTTTGCAGAAGATTTAAACTGGAATGCGTTGGAATGGGATCGTGCTGCTGAGGAGCTGACTTGGGAGAGAGTAAGTTTTTTTTTGCTGATGTAGAGATTGCATTTATTACCTCCATCAGGGGGTTTCCTAGTTTCTTAGTTTGTTTGACAGCAACTAAACTGAAAACGTTTTGTGTGGATTTTTACGGCATTTTCAGTGAATCTCGGTAATGGGACTCAAGGAAAAAAAGGAATAGAATTTTTTAGGTAATCCAGATCACTGTCTAGAGATTCAGGATTTAAGATATGTAATTGTGGCTCTTGGCAGAGTGGTTTTTGAGTTCAGTGATGCAGTATTATGTTTTGCTGTGTAGATGCTGGGCCTCGATGGTTCCCTTGTTTTCCTGGTAAGTTCAAACAAAGGGCCTATTTTCTAAACTGTTGCTCCATGCGCAGATTCTTTGCACTAATCTACACTGCTGTTTGTAGGAGCACGTCTTCTGGGTGGTGTCTCTCAACACACTTTTCATTTTGGTGTTCGGTATGTCTGAAGCTCACATCACGAAAAGAATATTATTCTAACTTTCCCATTAACAACTATTGATTATGTTTTCTACTTTTGCAGCGTTTTGCCCGTACCATATTGGCCATTTCTCAGTGGTGGGATTGGGCTTTGAAGAATATGTAAGTATCCATTCAAAAACATATTTTTCTTTTTTTCTCATCTTTAAAACAATAAAAACAAAACAAAATAATGTTATTTTTGTATTATAACTTCCCCCTTCAGATCGAAGCGTCACACTTTGAAGGGTTGGTGACCACAGTACTGGGCTACATCCTTCTGGCTGGAGCTTTGATTGTGTTTCACGTATCCTTCAAATACAACTATGTGTCTTGTGTCTCCTTTACTTAATGTTGTGACAAATGAGTTTTAGACTTTAACTCACCAATCTTCCAGGCTTTTGCTTCTTTGGTAAAATTCCAGAGATCCAGACGTCTATTGGGGGTCTGTTACATTGTTGTTAAGGTACAGTAAATTCAAATGAACAAATATATGATTTGAAACACTAAGCAAAACCTTTGCTCCTTCAGGTTTCCCTCTTAGTTGTGATGGAGATCGGCCTGTTTCCCCTGATCTGTGGTTGGTGGCTTGACATTTGCTCATTGGTAAAACCACTGACTTTTATATTATTTTTTCCCTCTTTAACACATGAGGTACATCAGACTTTCTTATGTACAAAACCTTTTAAACCTGCAGGATATGTTTGATGCTACACTTAAAGACAGAGAGCAAAGTTTTAACTCTGCGCCTGGCACCACACTGTTCCTCCATTGGTTAGTTGGAATGGTCTATGTTTTCTACTTTGCATCATTTATCCTGCTTCTCAGAGAGGTACAGTATTTCACATTTTTATGCTCTTATGATACAATAATACAATAAACCTTGACCATGTATGTGTTGTTACAGGTGCTCCGCCCTGGTGTGCTATGGTTTCTGAGAAATCTAAATGACCCTGATTTCAACCCAGTGCAAGAGATGATTCACCTGCCCATTTACAGACACCTGCGGAGGTTCATCCTGTCTGTGGTTGGTTCATAGCTTATTTGTGCTTCTTAAACAAGATCTGACACAGCTTTATTGTATGGGATGATTTCTTTAAACTCTATATTCTAGGTGGTCTTTGGCTCCATAGTTTTGCTGATGCTTTGGCTCCCAATCAGAATAATCAAATTACTCTTCCCCACCTTCCTCCCCTACAATGTCATGCTGTACAGGTAAGCACTGTGTCCCATCCCACTCCTAACTGGATTCAAGCCTCACCCTCATCAGGGCCTGTTTGCCTCTGCAGCGATGCCCCGGTCAGCGAGCTGTCATTGGAGCTGCTGCTGCTGCAGGTGGTCCTCCCTGCGTTACTGGAGCAGGGTCACACCCGACAGTGGCTCAAGCGCCTCGTCCACGCCTGGACTTTTACTGTGGGATACGTGCTGTAAGCTCACTAAATCCTTTATAACTACTTTATAAGCGAATATAAGCTTTTAGAAGAAAATAACATTATATATATATATATATATAATATATATTGTATATGCTTTTTTACAAATCCCCTCCACACACAGGGACCTCCACTCGTACTTGTTGGGAGACTTTGAGGAGGAGGAGAACCAGCCCAATAACAACAATAACAACAACCCGCCTGGTCATAACAACAACAGGATACCTGGTTTGGGGGAGGGGCTTCACGCTGCTCATCAGGCCATTTTACAGCAGGGTGGTCCTATTGGATTCCAGCCATACCATCGGCCGATGAACTTTTCTCTGAAGGTCATTAGTTCACATCTCTTGACATTATTCTTTCTCCATTTAAAATGTTAAAATTCTGTATTCATTTTTCAGATTACATTGTTGGTGATCTTTATGTGTGTCACCTTGTTAATGGCCAGTCTCATCTGCCTTACTCTACCAGGTAAGGGTCTTGGCCATCACACTTGGACTTAACAATATCCATACAATCTTTCTCAAACTTGAGATGGGATAGTTTAATAATGTATCTCCTCCAGTGGGTTAATCCTGTATTTAAAACCACAATTTATACCTACAGAGTTATAGATCCTTGAAGGCCACTGGCTGTGGTGGTACTCAAGAGGTGAAAAGGTTTCTTATATGGTGCTTTCCTGGCATTTCACTTTTATATTGTAAATAACTTTGCATTTACCATATACAAATATACCTTTGTGTAGAATTTAACTGTAAGCAAACAAGCAGAGAAAAGCAGATGCTGTTTATTATGTTATGATATAGTAAACAGCATCCCGTGGCCATTTTGAAAAAGCCCCATAGAAGGCAAAAGTGGTGGCACATTTGTTCAATTGAAGCGAACAATAATATTTATTTCTGTGAAGGTACTCTTTGGTTAGGAGGAAAGTTACATCTTAGCATATGTTTGCCTCTCCTCAGTGTCTGCCGGCCGCTTGCTGATGTCGTTCTGGATGGGTGGAGCTGTGGTCCATGAGCTTTACACCGCAGCCAGTGGTCTGTACGTGTGCTGGCTCTCCATCCGAGCCGCCACCATGCTGTTGTCCTGGATGCCTCAGGGACGATCCGTCATCATGCTCAAAGTGCACGAGTGGACTGTCATGGTGGGTGGAGTAGATAAACGTATACACATTTTCTGGTCTCATAATGAAGAGTTAGAGCGTGGGAACTCTTGTGTGTCTTGTTCACCTTTATTTTTATCCCTTTAATGGTTTTTAAGATAAGATAAGATAAGAATTCCTTTATTCGTCCCACAGTGGGGAAATTTCAATGTTGCAGCGCACATATAGGACAGTAGTAAGAGCACACAGGGAGCACACACAATATATACAAAATAAGTAGTAGCTATGTTTCTTAGCTAACATAACTAGCTGTAGATGCTGAAAATGCTTCAATACCAGTCAAAAAAGTAAAAAAATAAATATATATATATGTATGTATATATATATATATATATACATATATATATATATGTGTATATATATGTATACACACACTATATATATTTATATATATATATATATATATGTATATATATATGTATACACACACTATATATATATATATATATATATATGTATATATATATATACATCCATCCATCCATCCATTTTCTACCCTTTAATCCATTTCTGGGTCAGGGGGGTGGCAGTCAGAGATGCCACCCAAGTCTCACAGCACCAGCCTCTCACTGACCCTCTGCAGGTGGTGAGTCCACAGGAGGACGGCTGCTCTCTAAGTGTGAGCATAGCCCTGATCTTTCAGTGGGGGATTTAGGCAAAGTGGGATCAAGTGTCTTGCCCAAGGACACAACGACAGCAGTCATCAGTGGGAGTCGGTGGAGAAGGTGCAGAGGTGGGAATTGAACCCACGACCTTCTGGGCTTAAGGCCAATGCTCTACCAACTGAGCTACTGTCGCCCCATATATATATACATATATATATATATATATATATATATATATATGTATACACACACACATTATATATATATATATATATATATATATATATGTGTGTGTGTGTATACATATATATATACATATATATATATATATAGTGTGTGTATACATATATATATATATATATATATATATATATATGTATATATATATATATATATATGTATACACACACTATATATATATATATATATATATATATATTATGTATACACACACTATATATATATATATATATATATATATATATATATATATATGTGTCATTATATTTGATAATCTCATTTAACTTCGATTTGGAGTGGATTTGAAATAGAATGTTAAAAATGCGATTAATCGTGAGTTAACTCACCATTTCTGTGCGATTAATCAACAAAAAAAGTTAATCGTTTGACAGCCCTAAAATATAATATATATATATATATATATATATATATATATTATATATATATATATATATATATATATGTGCGCTGACATGCTTGCAATCTTACTTCAGGCTGGTGGGGGTGGACCCGGAATAAGAATTGCCCAATGCTTTTGTATGCCGTCTTCTTTCCTCTCAAAAATGGCTTTATACGATCCAAAAGTCGACTCTTGGCCAAACGCTATGTTCCAGATGTGTGTCAAAGCTGAGAGGAGTATGTTTTTTTTGGACCAGCCTAGTTTAGCCACTGTGTACTTTTGAATGCACTTGTTCAATGAATGGGGCTAGTGCCGGCTAACGTATGCGCAAATGCGTTTTTTCACATTTTCCTGCCCCGTGGCCATTTTGAAAAAGCCCCATAGAAGGCAAAAGAGGTGGCACATTAGTTTCAACGGTGGAGATAGAAGTGAATATGTTAAATAATATTTACAGTCTGTGGTCCCATCTTCTGCATTATTTTGCACAGGGAAACATCTCTAGTCTATGACCACTTCATAGTCTCAGGACCTCTTTGTTATAGCTTAGACTTTTATTTTACAATTATTTTGCTCTGTACAGATTGTGAAGACGATGGTGGTGGCCGTGTTGTTAGCTGGGGTTGTCCCTCTACTCCTGGGACTGCTTTTTGAGCTGGTCGTTGTGGCTCCACTCCGTGTCCCCCTGGACCAAACACCTCTGTTCTACCCTTGGCAGGTAGAGTTATTTTAAGAATGTCTAGACTCCTGGTTATATTTCACCCAAGAAATGTATCAAATGAGTCTCTTTGTGGCAGGATTGGGCTCTGGGTGTTCTCCACGCTAAAATTATTGCAGCAATAACACTAATGGGCCCCCAGTGGTGGCTCAAAACAGTCATTGAACAGGTTAGTTACACAAGCCTTTTGAATATTTTTGTATATTAAAGGTATTACAGTTTCAATGGAACCATCTCATCTTCTTTCTGCATGCAGAGTTTTTTTTGCAGAACATTATAAAGATAAATAGTAAAGATGCCATATTTCTCTTTTCTTTATTTTTCACACTCCATCCTATGCACATGTGTGATAATAATTTGGGTGATACACCATTCAACACTCAAAACACGCCTCCCGCATGGTGACGTAGCATTGCGCTAAGTTTGAGGTAAACTAGAGCTATCTGTACAGCTTTCGCTGTTGTATAGTAATTTAACATCTAAGAATAAACTTGTGTAAGCCCTCAGTCGTACAGGGATTAGTCAAAGCAAAGGAAGGTTTCTCACCCATCATCTGTACTTCTTAGCAAGTTTTCCCGACGTTTCGTCCTCAACCTGGGGACTTCTTCAGGGAATGAATTCTCGGACCGCGCGTTGGAGATTTATAACCTATGGGTGTGGTAAGCCACACCCTAATCCTGATACTAACTCGTAAACAATCTCAGGTCTGCTTGATGTAGAAGGGGAGCAGGTCTAACGACCCTGCTGAGGCTACCGACCCTAACTCCTTAGCATGTCACAGACCTATTGTCTGCTGGGATGCTCAAGTGGAGTGCAGGTCTCACCCCTCCTAACTCATTAGCATGTCACTGACCTTGTCCCAAGTTAGGGCGTTGTTTTTAGGATGTCGTCATAGATGCGAGGCAAAACAAATCTTAACCCTCCTCCTCTGTTAAGAGAAGGTTTTTGTTTCCTCACAAAAATGGCTTCTTTCACCCCTCTCTCAAACCAATTCTTCTCCCGAGCCAGAATTTTAACCTTTGTGTCATCCACCGTGTGGTTGGAGGCCTTGAGGTGGAGATGAACAGCCGACTGTGGCCCACTAGAGTTTTCTCTACTCTCTCTGCTCTCTGAACATGTTCAGAGAGCACTTTCCAGATGTGGCTACCCCAAGTGGTCTTTTACTAAAGCCCAAAGGACGAGAAAGGCCAGAGACACAGTCCTACAGACAGAAGAAAGTAGGAGGAGAGGGGTGTCCTTACCGTATGTGGCGGGAGTTTCAGAGAAACTACAAAGAATCTTTAGGCAACACAAAATCCCTGTGTATTTCAAACCTTTCAACACGTTAAGACAGAAATTAGTGCATCCCAAAGACAAAACACCCAGACACAAACAGAGCAATGTGGTGTATTCAATTAAATGTAGTGAAGAGGAGTGCACTGACCACTATATGGATGTGCACTCCACATATATACTATGGAGAAACCAAACAAACTCTACAGAAACGACTTTACCAACATCGTAGAGAAAACTCTAGTGGGCCACAGTCGGCTGTTCATCTCCACCTCAAGGCCTCCAACCACACGGTGGATGACACAGAGGTTAAAATTCTGGCTCGGGAGAAGAATTGGTTTGAGAGAGGGGTGAAAGAAGCCATTTTTGTGAGGAAACAAAAACCTTCTCTTAACAGAGGAGGAGGGTTAAGATTTGTTTTGCCTCGCATCTATGACGACATCCTAAAAACAACGCCCTAACTTGGGACAAGGTCAGTGACATGCTAATGAGTTAGGAGGGGTGAAACCTGCACTCCACTTGAGCATCCCAGCAGACAATAGGTCTGTGACATGCTAAGGAGTTAGGGTCGGTAGCCTCAGCAGGGTCGTTAGACCTGCTCCCCTTCTACATCAAGCAGACCTGAGATTGTTTACGAGTTAGTATCAGGATTAGGGTGTGGCTTACCACACCCATAGGTTATAAATCTCCAACGCGCGGTCCGAGAATTCATTCCCTGAAGAAGTCCCCAGGTTGAGGACGAAACGTCGGGAAAACTTGCTAAGAAGTACAGATGATGGGTGAGAAACCTTCCTTTGCTCTAAGAATAAACGTTTTCCAACAATGACAACCCGTCACATAGAGCCCTATGTCCTGGATCCAGAATCAGACCCTAATTATTTAGTTCAGTGACATACGCGAGTTAGTTGCATTGTACGCACAGAGGCTCCTGTTAGCGTATTTTATGTTGTGAATTACCACAGTTTTCCAGATCAGCTTTTGAGTAGGTCCCGTTTCAAGGTAACCGTAGTTCTGGAACAGTCTTTGGTGGGGTCACCGTCACTCGCAGATACACATCTGCAAATGTTGTTGTAGATTTCAGACTTGCGCGGATACGAGGCAGATCCCCGTGAACAAAGTCGATCCCCATTCTCCGTCTTCGGGAGAATACTGCTCTACTACTCTTGTCACATATTTACACCAACAACACATTTTCTCCAAGTTCAAGTTTTGAAAAGTCAAAAAGCGTAATATGGGACCTTTAAGCATTATTTTTTTTGTTTGTAAACAGATTTTGTTTGTCTTCTAGGTCTATGCTAATGGTATTCGGAACATCGACCTGTCTTACATTGTGAGGAGACTTGCTGCACCAGTCATCTGTGTGCTGCTGCTGTCTCTTTGTGTCCCGTATACTGTCTCTAAAGGAGTCACGCCGCTGCTGGGTAAGTCACACACACACACACACACATACACACACACACACACACACACACACACACACACACACACATACACGTTTTTGTTACCTGGTGGGTCCCTTTGACAGGGCCGTTCAGAATGGGACCCATAGACATAATCTTTTTTTACTGGGACTACTTTAAGTAATACAAAACAGTCAATAGAAACCAAACAACTATTTTAAAGGAATTTTATTTTAGATTTTGTTTTCGAATTGCAGTGATTCTATTTTTGACATAGAATTTAATGCCACTCCATGTCCGATGTCTAAGGTCATCTGGTGAGGCATTAATGCAGGCCAGGCAGTGAGACTTCCCAGGGACCTTTCCAGTCTGTATGAAAGGTGTCATGGTCTTCTCCACAGCCTTCACCTCAGATGCAGACCATGGCTTTCTTACACGTTCTAGGGAGAGAAATAAAAATATATTAGCAATATACACTCCCAGGGTTAGGACCAAGCAGCCTGGCTGTAATCCCCCACCTGGTACACTTACCAGAAGGGGCACTGCCACTACCATGGGGTGCATCTGGATGAATGGTTGAAGGTTCTCCGCTTGAAGTTTCTTTTAGCCCGTCCGTTTGTGAGAGGATCTCTACTGCTCTCCCTGTCGCACAGAAAATAAAAATACAAGTGGCCTTTAGGGGAAAAAAATCATACATATTTTAATAATATCAAGAATTACCTTCAGGCTCAATTTGTATCTGGTCGAGGCTCTTTCCTTCGAATTCCGTCACTCTTCCCTGCTCCATGGCCATCAACACTTTGCTGATTTTGGCCAGCTCCAGTGTCCCCTCTGGTATTCTGTAATATTGCCTGTGGATGCGAATGTCATGGCCGAGGAAGTTGGCAAGTATGTCCATCTCATTCTCTTTCATATTGAGAACTGTAGACATAGTAGCTATGTGCTTTCTAAGTTTGGTTGAGGATAGCATCTCTGGATGCACCGCACCACATTCTTTGGCTACCTGGCGTAGGGAGTCTGATCCCCTGATGTGGGTGTCTGCGCCCGGGCGGGAAAAGAAGTATGGGTTATGGTCAGAGATGGAACAGGCCCTTCTGTTCTCCACCAGCACCTCCATCGAAGCAATCATTTCAGGAGTCAAAAGAACCGGCACTTTCCGACTTCTTTTCCCTTTAATTTCAATGCGTTGAAAATGCTGACACAGCTTTTTCTCAAGTTGGGACAGTCCCAGAGCAATGTCAGAATGGATCCCAGTCTTACTTCTTAAGGTAAACGCTGTCAGTGGCATCTTTGAAACCTCACCTTCCCTTCTTCGATTGAAAATGATGACCTCACAAAGAGTCAAAACTGCCAGTTTAGACCAATGCTTAGACGTTGGCTCACTTATTAGGGTTTGCACATATTCAGGTCGACATACCTCAATATGTGCATGCATGGCTCTAACGTCCTCAGTCAGAGGGAGCAGGTCCGGAGTGTTCCACTTGGCTTGCCGGAGGGTCTGTAGGGCAGCAGAAGAAACACAGACGTCCCACCTCTTCTCAAAAAGCAGCCGGCTTCGTTGGAGGTTTTTAATAAATAGTTCATCAACACAATGCTCCATTTTTGAGTCACATTCAAGAATATCTGCTAGCTTTCTGAGGCTATGGCCGAGTTTGAGGGCCAAGGATGGAGTCTTGTATTGATTTGTTTCCTCATCATATCCAGCCACAGACCTGACTGCATCAATCACATGGTTAAAGTTGGAAGGAATAAAGAAATCCTTAATTGTTTTCAGTTTCCCTGCGGTTTTTGCTTCGTTAATTAACCTACCGACTTCTCTCATTTTCTGCCTAATGTAATCATGCTTAGTCTTATCATGCCCGTGTTTTAAGTACAGGTGCTCTCCGAGTCTCAGAATCCCCTTTTCTGCTTTGACAACACCCGTGACCTCATCCTGATGCATTGCCGAAATTAAAGACCACAGCTTTTTGCTGATGCCCTCCGGTACAGGCTGGGCTAGGGAGCAGAGGGACTGGACCCTACTTCTACCTGGTTTAGCCTGGGCATCTTTCTGTGAAAGCCGGCACCTGGCCACATGCCTCCACAGCGACTTTCGCTTAAGCAATGCCCCACAGTCTATACAGTGCAAAAACTCACTGGATTTAACTGGGGAATTTGGCTGTTTAGCTGGGACTAAAGTTCCAATGCCGGCCTTTAAAACCTCAAAATTGTGCTCACGGTTTCCACTATTCCTGATCAAATCAAACTGAAGTTTACGTGCTTTAGATTTCACAGGTAGAGCCAATGCTCTGGCTACGTCACTTTCATTTCCATGTTTTCTAGTCAAATGACGGGACATTTTGTGGCAGGACATTGAACAGTAGAGGCAGAAGTGTCTCTTGCTGTAAACTCGCCCCCCATTTTTCTTCTTTTGCAGCTGCATGATAACAATCTTATTTGCCTTTGGTTCGTCACTTTCCGAGTCTTGAAGAAAAGTGTTTTTGATTTTTCTTTTTCCATACTTTTTTACAGGTTTCTTCTTGACAGTTAAATTGTCAGAATCTGAGTCGACTTCATCAATTAGGGACTCTTGACTAAGCTGCACAAACAACAAATAATTTGTAATCATTCTATATAACAATTTGAAGTCATGACTTGTAGTCAGCACTTACCAGTGGTTTGTAAGCGTGCGCTTCAGTGTGCTCCTCCATGATTTCTTGCAGCCTAATGAACCACACACTTGCACCTTTTTCTAGCCTGACACCTGATTTCCTCTGTTGTGCTGCTCCATGATTGGCTCCAGCCTGCTGGACTGAAATTGCCCCAGTGTGCCCCTCCTTGATATCCCGCAACCCACCACCAGGGTTCCGATAACACACTTTTTTCAGGAAAGTAAACCTCCAGGGGTCCTTTCCATATTTTTACAGAGACTGCATAAGGACCGTTAGAAAAGCATTACCCATTGATTATTAAGCTTGGACCAGTGGGGTCCGGTGTTCGGGCCCCACCACGTAAAACCAGTCCCCATGACGTGAGTGGAATCTCAGGTTATGGAACCCACCAGGAGTTGAAAACAAGTGCACACACACACACACACACACACACACACACACACACACACATTCACCACTAGGTAGTGTGCTAGTGTGTTGATTTGTAATTATTTTTATTTGGATACAATGTAATTTTTTATTTAGTAATTTAGATGTTTCTTTTCTTAATATTTTCTGTTTGTAATTGATGTATTGATTTATTTTGATAGTCAGAAATGCACAAATAATGTTTCATTTTTGGTAAAATGGGAGTGTACATTAGTTTCGGGGTCAAAAGTCTATATTTACTTAATCCTATCAAGTAGAAAATACTCTGTATGTTGGTATATATTGCCTCAAGGTAAGTATCAGCAAACTCTAAAGATACCCAGTTATATCCCCAGCCGTGCAGGTCGGAACAGTACTATAACTATAACTTTTATCATTTCTATAATTTATCCATTGATTAATTATATACAGGCAAAATGCAGTGCCATACAGTTTGTCAATGATGTGATTTCTCTTTCAGCTGTGCAGCCAGAAATGCAAACACTGGTGGAAAGAAGGATTTACCCGTTCCTGCTAATGATGGTCGTCATATTAGCCATTTTGTCCTTCCAGATTCGCCAGTTCAAAAGACTGTACGAGCACATTAAAAACGACAAGTCAGTTCCTTTTAATTCACAAACTAAGTGTGTCTTTTTCCTTTTCAATGACTGATTTATAATTGGTTTATTCCTTATTTCCATGTAGATACCTGGTCGGACAGAGACTGGTGAACTATGAACGTATAAACACCAGTTCATCCTACAGCGCTCCACCTTGAACACTGGACTCCAATGTCTTACCAGTTACATCAACAACATATAAGCTGAGACTGAAGACACATTTCTTAAAATCAGGTGAAACACAAAGACGCTCTCTGAGTTTTTATTTGTTTTATTTGATTCAGTCTTTTGCTTCCTGGAGGACAAATGGAGAACATTTCAGACAGCTCTGTTTAGTAATGAGACAGTTAGGGGTGTGGGAATAGGTGTTTCTGCCAGGAATTTGAATTGACTCAATTAAACCAAGACTGTGAAAGAAAAAGAGTTATTTTATGTAGGATTTTATTCAAATTGTGCGTTTTTGTTCTTTTTTTAGGCCTGATTTCATTTCAAGTGTTACGTTTTATTGCCAGTGAAAGACCACTGGGAGGCTGTTATGGTGGCCTCCCAGTGGTCTTTCATCCACCCCTCTAAAGAAAGACCGACGTTACTAATTAATACTACACAATAAATGAGTGTTTTGACCCACTCTTGGTCTTGATGTGTCAGGTGATCCACTAAAACATGCAGATGTTTGTTGTTGTTTGATATGTCCACGTTCCACTTCCTCTAACTCTATAGTTATCACTGCAGATGTGAGTGGCTCCCTAATTCTGAAAGACCTCTTAACGACTTAATAAAGCGTTTCATATTTGCACTATGCTTGAGGCTGATGAAGGTGAAGAACTGGATAAAAACTTGTGTATAAATGTAGTTGCAAACAAGCATGTTTCCCCTGGATGTACTGTGTGTGTTGTGAGCGTCACCCAAAGGTTTACAAAGACCACATATTAAATATCAGAAGAAGAGAGAAGAAATACAACACATAATTATAATGTTCCCAAAAATGAACAACTAACTGTTACTGTTGTCTCTTCATGCCAATGTTTGTGCACTTTATTTTATTGGTTACAATCTTTTCAAAACTACTGTAAGTGTGTCTGTCAAGTTGAATGTTTTCAATCATGTTGCCGGGGAAACACCACCATTATTGACTTGTGGAGATTTTACATTTTAGTTCTGACACTGTTTCCTATGTCCTCAAATGCAGTTAACTAATGTGGATATGCATTGTAGGTGATTAAGTGCAGGCAGCTGTACTATTGTGTGGAATAATCATTTTTACATGATATCAAAGTGTCCTTTTTAACATTTTTGTTAAATTTTATCTGTACATTTCACTTGTGGTCTTGTATTTCAATTTATAGAGGGAAATCATTTCTATTTTTATATGTACAGAAGGCATTGGCATGTTGTAACACATGTGTGTGACTCTGTGAAATGCAACATTATTAAATAGTTGTGACTAAAAATGTGTTCTGCTTGTTCATAATAATAGTGAAAAATAATAAGGGGTATTTATAATTTAGGGGGAGTTTATAATAGTTTTCCCTTTTGATTGAACGATGCTGGTGTCCTTTAGTGATTGTGAATTAGGGGTGCTTTCCATTTTTTTCCTGACAGTGATGCAGACTTCTTTTGGGCTGTCTAGTTCAGGATAATTGGAAAAGGACACAGGGACACTTGGCTCTTGGAAACAGGACACAGGGATATCTGCACTGAATCCAATTAACTCTGAACAGGACAACGGTCAGCCTGACCTACAGTACGAATGTGACACAACTGAAAATGTAAACAAAAAAATTGGGGTCAAAGTATTCTGAATTTGAATAAAGCAAATTCAACTAATGAATACAATCAAGCACATAAGGAACGAGAGCCTCAAAATATTTTAATGATAAAGATACATACCATTTTTATCTTTTTATTTAGTCAGTGTTATAGTTTGTTTGAAATTTGACCATGATTTTAATTTATTTTATTCCTCAGTTTATATAAATTGGGACAGTACACATTAATCAACATTAATAATGTGTAAGAATTAGCTGTGCAGCTGGTTTCTAACTGTAGTCCCTAGGCAAGGTGAAAAATGCCAACGATAAATACATAACATAAACAAGTGTATCATACAATATGCATTAAATTGCAGAAGAATCATGGTGCAGATGAATTGCTTCTGGTTTGCACTTGACGTGGCTGTTCTTGCAGGGTCAGCTCGGTCAGCTGCTGACCACATGGAGCCACTGAGGGCACATGCAAATGAGATGCCCCTCCTAAAGAGTTGGGGTCAGGCAGGCTTTGCAGCAGCACTAATGACATTAAATCATTAATACACAACAAGCAAGAGAAAAATGTCCTTGTAGGATGCAGTGTATTTTAACTTCTACTTATAATAATATCTCAAATTTGAGGTGTTTATCTTATATCTACTTTGCTTTAAAGTGATCTATCAGCTGTGTTACTGTAGGATTGTGGGAATAAACTCATAGACGGCGACTAAAGAGATTAGCACGCGTCAGGCCAGGAGCGGGCCGCTCATCCCATTGCGGGACTGTGTCTCAACAGGGAAGCATCGGATTAACCGTTCAACAGGACAACGCTTTTTTCCTTAACTAAGAGTTATTTTTCTTCTCTTTTGTTTGTCTCATTAAATATTGAGGTTTGGACATTAACCGCAATGCCACATTTTGTACGACTAAAACTTTTCAATACACCAGCAGCAGTACCTGAATGGACTAAATGGGAGTAATTTTGTATCTTCTGCCAATGATTGTAAATCCTCAAGCCATTTTGTGGAATTCAACTTTTCTTATTGTATAGAGTAATATAGATCTATTACTATCATTATGAGGAACAATGCAGTCTTCTCAAACAACCTGTTTGACCTTTGATGACTCGTATGCCAGATGAACTTGCTGAGGTCTGGTGTGGGCAGCCTTTTAAATGAACCAAACTGATGAGTTGAAGGTTCGAGAGAATGGCTTTGCGGGTGTGCCTCTTATGTCCATCACAGACATTGATGGAGACGGAGAGGAGTCAGAGGTGGCAACAGACAATGACAATCTCACATATGAAGTGTCGTACTCCCGCAACTACTGGGAGGATGAGGACGACATCTACCAAGAGTTTGAGGAGTTGGACTTTGATTCTCTGCCGGACCACTCTGACACCCGGAGCATTGTGTCGGATGATTCCTTCTATCCCCCAGAGTGTGCGGACAGGACAGGGCTGGCCCGCGCCGCCAGCCCAGACAGTCCAGAGCCCATGTCCTTCTACAAGGCCTGCTGCAACAACAACGCCATCATCGTTAAGATCATGATCCGCCAGGGAGTGAGCGAGGAGGAGGTGGCTGAGGCAGACAAGAACAGGAGTGTATGTCCCCAACATGGATCTATGTAGTGTCCTAAGTCTTATTTTCTTCTATATCAAACGATTAGGTAGGATAAAGATGTAATCGTCTTCTGACAAAGAGAAGTTTCCGTCAAAGCATATGAAGGTAATTACATTTATATCCTGCCAATTTGATATAGAAAAAAAACAATCAAACACAAGTGAATTAGTGTTTGAAGTAGCTCTGGAAGACATTCTAATAGTGTTTCAGACCAAACCAAGTTCATTATATAATTGAGACCTTTCCTTCTTTTTTGTTGTTGACATTTTTGAGTTAAATCTCATCTTGCAGCACTTATGATGGCGTCTGTAACTAAAGCAGTTAACGATTCAGCGATTGTTAAAAAAGTTGACCATTTAAAAACATCGATTAGTTACGATTAATCAAATACAGCTGTTTGAAGTACAAAATAATTGAAATATATTTAGCCTGGCACTGAAAAAGGACTATTATGTGTTCAATACGTTAAAAACTATAGCATTAACACAATGCTGCTGTAGTTGAAATAAGGCTACATTGACCTATTTCTTGTCAAAATATAGTGAGTAAGTAGTCTTTATTTATATAGCGTATTTTTAAAGACCAAATTCATCCAAAGCGCCTTTACAATGTACAGAATAAATAATACTTAAATCTAAATACCGTGTAATTCAAGCACCATTTGTCCAGTGTAGAATCCCAACAGTACAACACGTATCTCTGCCTATCGAAGCTTACTTTCAAAACATCCTGTCTTTAGGCCATGTGAATTTTCCTAAAACTCATAAACTTTTATCAATGTTGCGTGCTAACGTGAGGAGATAATGTCTTTATGTGCAGATTGTGAAGACCAGGATGGTAAAGGTTAAATCTCAAAAGGGACTCAGTGCTTTGTTAAGCTCTGAGCAGCAGATGGTCAGTGTCAACATCACTGGGTCAAGAAAACTGCCTCTTTTTAGGGTTAAACAAAGCCAATAATACTAATTATTATTAAAGTTCTTTAACAACAAGTAACTCATGTTTGTTTCATCACATCTGCTGGTACTACTAGGGTGAAGTTTGAAACAAACACATTATTCCGAGGTTTGGAAGTTTGGCTCTGGGAAAAACATTTAAATAATAAATGAATGTCCGAGAGCACTCAGACATGATAGCACCATCCAGAAATGGTCCTCTATGAGTAATGGCCATATTTTGGAACAGGAAAACAAAATTTGCACCAGTGATGGCGCTTCATGAGACAAGCCTCAAACCCAATGGGAGCACTGCCCGATGATGAACTGAAAGTCTGCATTGAAACAAATTGGCTTTGATTTTCCTGACTTCTAACCAAGTTATCAATGTGAAACATATATATGATATAGACTCAAGACCACTCCTCAATAAGGCTGAATGTCCTCTTGTCAGAATATACTAATATTCTGGGATTTTTAATTTTTTTAAACAATAGCTTGACATATGCATGCAATGAGTCAATATCCTGAAAAATACCCAGCCCAACTTCTCACAGCAACATGCAACAGTCCGTAGAGCTGAACTGTAGCCTTCAGTGCGGAGTGGAAAAAGGAATGAAACATAGACATCAGCACATGGCAACAAGCGCCATTAATCCAGTGTCCCCATACTGTTTAAGAATGGGCAGGTTTTTACAAGGCCATTAGTTTCAATTCTCAAAAGATAAACACACACAAATGGTTATGTTGTAATTATATTGATCTTTGTTCCCATGGAGAGGAGTTACAATGAAATCATCCAAATGCACCTTCATTTCCACTTTGTCCTATGCAGAGTGGCCTTATGGCAGCGTGTTACCATGGTTACATCGATGTGGTCATGGCCCTGTCGCAGTGCCCGTATCTGGACGTGAACTGGCAGGACAAGGAGGGCAACACGGCGCTCATCACTGCAGCACAAGCAGGTGAGAGGTCGACGCGCTGACCCAGAGTTCACCTGGTCACATGTTCACACAGTCACAGGCTCCAGAGCGAGGAAGAGGAGGAGGAGGTCACAGTGCAGAGGGGAGGAGGAGGAGGTCACAGTGTGGATTGGATTGACACCATTACTATTATTATTATTATTATTGTATTTTTTTTTTTTTCACTTCTGGAAATAAAGCCCCATCCAGATGTATTTCCATGTGATAATTCAGACATTTTCAAACCCGATTTGGCCCTTGGAATGATTTTCAAATCTCTTTCCTGCTGTAACTTGCAGCATTGATGACAAGGGGCTCCAATGGCATGCACTGCGTTATACTTCATTTTAAAGCCTATTGTCTCAAGAAAAACAACCATATAATTGTATCTGTTCTAAAATGTTCACTAACATGTATTTGGAAGTTATAGTTTATACTTTCGATAGTCTTCCAATACATTTCTTATCGATATTAGGCCCAGTTGTGGTTGAATCCAAACTTACTCGATGATATCCAAACAGTGAATTAAAAAAATAGAATAAAATACTTGTTTATACCACTTTTATACTTCAGACCCCAACTCACTCTTAGGTTTTTGATTTCTCGACCAAAATGAGTTTAACACCACTGTGATAACATACAGTATTTCAGGATAAAGGAAGAACCTGCTTATTAGGTTCACCGATGATTTTTTGATCTTGATATTTTTATCGAGTTGTGCTCTATTCACTTATCTTTATCCGAATAAAGGATACAAATCTTATATACAGTCGGTTGCATGTGATATCACAACATTCCGAAGAGCCTATTGCTAAATTGTCTTTCCTGGTATCTATTATAACTGTAAAAAGTAAGATTTCCAGTTTTAGTCATTTCATTTCTCTGTAATTCCTAAAGGCAATCCACATGAAGCAAAAACTACATTACTACTTCTATATATTCTTTGTCGGCACATTCACTTATTTGATTGTAAAGGTGTTTAGAAGTGGTGACAATATTCAAAACCACAACCACACTCAGAAAAATTATTTAATGTTTTTGTTCCCCCATTGAGTTTCATTTGCCCCGGTGCCCTCCAAAGGAAACAGTGTTCTAAAAACATGAACACAACCTGTTGGGGCTATGTTTTCAACACAGGCTGTGTAAATACGTAGAAAAACGTAGAAAAACTCAAACAATGGCAAATACTCTGAGGAAATATGGTAAGATAATTTTGAATGTGGACAAATGTCATAAGACAGCTTTATTACATTTTGTAAATCACGATATTGGTCTGACTTTGATTGATTTGCCTTATAGTAATAAAATGGCATCTCACAACAACAAAAAACAATTGCTGGGCTTTTAACAGTGGAAAGCTGCAGATTATACAGCTTTGATCTCAGGCCATGGATACTACTGTTATTAGAGCAAAATAATAAATTAAAAAAAGGCAAAATCACATCATCATCTGCACATATGCCAGGCACAACCCCCTGATCTGTTATCCTCTCCGTGATGAATGAGTGAGTGAAGATGAATAGCCCGAGACTTCTCTTCATTTTCTGCTTCATTAAAACAACCATCGATCGTCTGTCAGGAGTCCGGACGGAGAAGCGTGAGTGGCCAGAGGACAGGTGACCAAGCCCAGCATACCACAGCATACTTTGGTAGAGTATTGGCCTTTGAGCCAGAAGGTCGTGGGTTCGAGCACACCTCAAGACTTTCTCCACCGACTCCCACTGTATGCTGTCGTTGTGTCCTTGGCAAGACACTTAACCTCTGGGAACACCTGATGCCACAGTGGGGCGGCTGCGGCTGTAAAGTGCCAAACTGCCGTTGTGTCCTTAGGCAAGACACTTTACCCTCATTGCCTAGAATGAGTCTGGTGTGTGTGTGAATGGTTGGTGGTGGTCGGAGGGGCAGATGGCACATACTGGTTGCCTCGCTTCTGTCAGTGTGCCCCAGGGCAGCTGTGGCTGCAGTAGTAGTTTATCACCACCGAGTATGGAGTGAAAGAATAATGACATGTAAAGCATCTTTGAGTGTCCAAAAAAGCGCTATATAAATCCAATGCATTATTATGATTATTATTTAGATAATCATTTATTTTTTTATTTTTTATTTTAGTTCTTTTTATTTTATTCCAATTCTTTTCATTTAAGTCTTTTTTCTTTTTCTTCCAATTTAATTCTTTTAATTTTAATTTAACCTCTTTACTAACACCAGCGCGCCGGCGGCTGTTTTTATGTTTTTAAATGTTCTGCTGGCAATAGCAGATGTATTTTGAACACCAAACCCCAAAAGCTGCATTTTAAAGCTTATTTTCTTATCTACATTTATATACAAGTGTAAACTACATCAGACTTTGCATTCAAAAGATATAACACATAATCTGGGCACAAAATAAATCAATTCCGAAATAGTTTTTTACCTTTGGGCTTGTGCTGTACAAATAAATCAGCTCTCCTCCCAGCTTGCAATACATCATTCTCTCTCGAACAGTCCAAAGGAAAATTATATCCACTTGTATTTCCCAAAGTAAAATCCATTCTGCAGAAATAATCCAAAAATGTGCATTTATCTTTAGCGAAAAGCACAGATGTTACTCTTTCACTTTTAACGGACTTTCAGCTTTGTTTTTCACCCAAACATCTGGTATCTACGTGTTCCTTAGCTCCTTATCTTTCAAATGAGACTACTCCCGAAAAGCTAGACCAATTTTTGGGTCTGCAAGAGGTCCCGTAAGTACAGCTTGCGCTGCTGTTTGCGCATTGAACACTGATCTTTTGTGGGGTCCCAACCAAGCCCCGGCGATCCAAGATGGCGCCCTATTCAAATGAATGGTTGTGCTCAGTGGCGCTTTGTGACGGCATGGGGGCTGAAAGATTAGCGGAAGTTGCCTGAAACTCGCAAAGATCTATGGGAAACTCGCAAAGAACTTTGGGAAACTCGCAAAGATCTATGGGAAACTCGCCTGTATTTGGGCATCGTCTGGTCCTCCCGGTTCTGCGCAGTGGATGATCTCCCATAATGCGTTGCGCCAAACACGCGTGTGTGGGTCTCACACCGGGTCTCATGCACGTGCACAGAGGGGCTCGGCTGCGCTCTGACCAATCAGAGCAGTTCATCAGAGCGGGAGTTAGAGCGAGAGTCAGAGGAGCAGAGTTTGTGGCACTAAAGTGTGGATTTAAACAAAACCGAAGGATTTAAGAAGAAAAAAAGTTCAGGATGACAAGGGACACTAAAATCCCCACAAAATCCGATCTTTATTAAAGCTGTAGGTTCTCTGTCAGCTGAGGTTGAGCTGTTTTAATATGCATTGAGTCCTATGGGGAAAATTTCTGGGTGGCCCACGTGAATTTAGTCTGGTTCAGTCTGCAGTACCGCGAGAATCCCCTGAGCACGTGAGTTATTCAGCTACAAGCTAGTAATACCCTATCCAGTTAATATAATACATCCATGGTCCCAACTTGTTTGCTTTTACTTCCGGGATTTACGATTGACATGTCCTTGTAGCCAATGAGGAACGCTTTCGAACAAGGGGGTGTCCTGTCTTATGTTGGGCCTGGACAATTGTGCGTAATGGAAGCCAAAAGACGCTCTCGAAGCTGCAATGAATTTACACTCATAAAAAAATAACTTTGACATTTAAAAAAGAAAAACACACATAGATTAGTAACTTATAAGTACCAATAATAAAAAATATCGTTTTTATGATGATTAAATGTAAGTAAAGATATTTGGCACAATTTGGCAAACTTGTGCCAAATTGTGCCAAATGTGCACTACTTGATGAAAAGGAGAAACTGCATAAAAACTATAAAACTTAGAAGTCTGAAACTTTAGACAGTTGTTGTCAACAACACAATGAACAGAGGGTTTGAATATTGTGAACTTACAATGAAGTATGCCTTTTTTAGGGCCTTTAGAAATTGAAAATGTTAGGCGAGGCTAAAAAAATTGGGTTTTTTTCCCTAACTTCAAAGGATGCAGAGGAAAATAGGAATGACAAACATTATTTTAGTGTTTTTTTACATAAACTAGAAGGCTCTAGCTTTAAAATGATGCATCACACAAGCATGTGAGATGTAAGATGTGTTTTTAAATAAGCAAAGACATTTGGGTATGCCCAACCATTGTGCACGAGCCAAAATGAGGCGGATGTTAAGAGGTTAATTATTTTTATTTCATTTTAATTATTTTTATTTCATTTTTATTCTTTTTATTTAAAGCTGGCAGACTTTTGTATTTTAATGTGTTCCTTTTATCTGTGCAGCACTTTGGAAAAGTGCTGCATCAATTGGATGGTTTCTGTCACACTCAAACTCATACAGAATAGACCAGATTCATTTATTCATAGTCCGTCAGTATTCATAAACATAGGATTTGAAGTGTGGTGGATGTTGTTTGCAGGTCATGCTTTCATCACTAACTTCTTGCTGAACTACTTCCCTGGTCTGGACATCGAGCGGAGGAACTGTCACGGCTTCACGGCTCTGATGAAAGCAGCCATGCAGGGCCGTGCCGAGTGTGTCCGAGCCCTCATGCTGGCAGGTGACGTAACGCTATCAATTTCACTTCATTAATAGTCACAATACTGTAATAATGTGCAATGTGCAATACTGCAATTTCATAATGTCCTCTGAATGTCACTTGATCTACTTATCCTGCCTTATATGTACATAAGTTCAGAATATGTATCCGGATAGATAGAGATATTTCAATATACTAGGAAGCATTTGCAGCTAGCTAAGAGATTAAGATTGAAACATCCTTCATTCGTCCCTTTCGTGGGGAAATGTCAGTGTTGCATCACCAGTAATAGAGCAGCAGGAATGAGTAGCACACAGCACAAGATAGGATTTTATAGAAGTATAAAATCTCTATCTTTAGCATAATGAGACAAAAACTCTGACTTTAGTTTAATAAATAAGTATAAAATCTCTACCTTGAGCATAATAAGAAGCAAGTACTGTATATTCTAGAAAAAGTATTATATAGTTGTATGTTTACATGTGTACTTGTGAGCAGCACGAGGGTCTGGGACAAAGTGACTCAGTAGAGCGACAGTAACACATGTGGTTCTATATTACACATTCTGTCATTATTAAAGTTATCATTGCACAGATGAGTAAGTAAAGTGAAGTGACTTTGACACATGTGGTTCTATATTGCACATTCTGAAACACATGTGTCAATGTCACATAGCAGCTACTTATATTGTATATTGTGCGTGCTCCCTGTGTGCTCTTACAACTGTTGAAATTTTGAAATTGTGGGACGAATAACGGATCTCTTATCTTATCTTTTGAGAAATCTGTTTCTGTGGCTCGGTTTTATCGTATATTGGATCATAATAATGCTGTTGACTTTTTACCTGCTGTTTCCAGGGGCGGATGTCCAAGCTCGGGATAATGGGCGTGGCCTGACCCCTCGGGAATGGGCTTTGTTCACTGGACGACATGACACAGCACATCTCATGACCTTGTTAATGGCCCGGCCCTGTGCAGAGCAGTTCTGTGACACCTTCTCTCTGGAGTGGCCCTTGTTAGAGGTTTGTAATGACCAGGATGAACTGAATATTCAATGTTCAAAAACTATAACTATACTTTACAATACCAAGTAAATAATGTACACAAGGTGGGAGTCCATACATTTTTCAAAATAGAGTCCAAATAGTAATTAAGTGTACTGTATATTATATGTAGTATTATGAATTAACAATGTAAATCCTTCTGCTCAAATGAAAAAAAGAAAAACAACATACTGTAGTTATATCCCTCTATTGTCTTTGACAGGAGCTGGTGGTTGAGGCAGAAAAGCCAAAACCCTGTTGGAAGCGTGTACTGAGCCTCTTCAGCTGCTGCCCTTATAAGTTCTACGTGATCAATAAGATCTCTCCGGTGGACGATGGTGTCCTGGAGCACATGGTGCGTGTCACCACCAGTATCTGCAGCCCGCTCATCGCCACAGCTGCCCACACCGTGAGCCCTGGGAGCCCTCCCCGCATAGGCAGGAGGAGACATGCGGTGCAGGAGATCCTGAGGAGGAGGCGTCTGGCTGAGCTCAAGAACCTTGGTCCTGAGAGGCTGAACCACTACAAGAGGTTCTTCCAGAACTCCAGGGTGCAGCTGATCCCTCGTGCCACTGACCGCAGGGCCAGTCTGCAGCCACAGATCCTGAGCGACGTGGCTGCTGCTGCCTCCTCCATGGCCATGAGGAGGGCCAGTCTGCTGCCCCTGCACCTGCTGCGCAGAGCCAGTGTGCGGCCCGGCCTCATCATCCCCAAAGTGCGCCTCTGCAAAGCCTCCAACCCCAACTACAAACCTGACAAAGTCCGCAAGAGCCGCAACAGGAACCACCTCCAGTTGCCCAAGTGGGAATATAAGATGAAGAAGATAGAGAGGAAACAGGAAGAGGAGCGAAAGAAACTCCACATAAAACGCAGTTAACCTCAGAATAACTTTTAGGCTTTTATAAGAATTGTATGTGGAAAATGTGGCCTTATCTTTTCACATTTTAAACTGCAATGTTTACAGTGGCATCACTTTTGATTTGAACAAAATCATCACTTTCCGATGATATTTATTCTTACCTGATGAGATTCTGTGGTGTAGCATTCCTAGTGTGTACACAGCAGGTAAAAGGGGCTTATGCGGGGGCTGAGGACGGGGCTCACAGCAGCTTTGGAGCTTTGAAAAGCATCTGAAAGCATCGCCAAGAATAAACAGCTTAATGCTCTACACCGACTTGTTGACATTTAAAATAATCACCATAAGGTCCTCTGGATTCTACTATATGGACAACTTTGCCAAGTCCAAGTGAAATGAGAAATATGAGAAGAGGAGAAAGCAGTAATTTTCACAGTGCTTTCGTCTTTATAATATAACACATTTTTACAGCACATTTGTCTTTATAATATGAACACCAACGCTGGACACACACAATGGATAATCGTGAAAGGGAAATATGCCAAATCCAAGTGTTCTGTAGCACTATAGTGACTTTGAAATAAATCATTGTCTTCGATCTTTCAATCTCTCCCCCCTGACTTGATAATAAGACCACATGGTGTTTGAAGCTGGAGTACCTCACCTTCAAAACATTTTAAATGTAACAAAATCCATCTAACTATAGTTCATAGCTCTACACATTGTTTGGTTCTATCTTTCCTCTATCACATCTTTTGATAAGCTTTTTAGACCAGTTTTTAATGAAAAAAGTAGATGCCCCACCTTTAACACTGCACTGAGAGAATGTTTCAGTATTCGCTCAAATGCACCAGATAAAAGTATATCTGATTGTACCATTTTAAACAAAATACTATACTCACTAATATATTTATAAAGCCTAGTAATATTTACTTTATAAAACCTTCTGCTCTATATTTAACCTTTAGACAAAGTTTAAAGGGCTGGTGCAGTGTGACGAACCTCCCAGACCTGAACACAACCAGGTTCCCAACCACCAGAGCAAGCAACCTGACAATTATTTATTTTGACTTAAAGCTGGGGTACCTAACTTTCAAACCATACCAAATCTATGCAATACAAAACATCTAACAAGTTCCCATATCTCTCAACAAACGATGAATTCTATTAGTAGTTCATATGCATTTATTTTTAGCCTCTGTCATAACTTTAGATCTGCTTTTTAAGACAAAAGCGTGAAAAAGAGGTGGATATCATAGTGACTCACAGAACTCTTTCTTACAAATAGTCAAAAGATAAAGCTCTGTGAGTCACTTGAAGACAATATGAAGACAAGATGTTGTGATCTGATTTGTTCACAACATTTTTATGTTACATTACTCTGTTGCGACAAAAAGTACCTAACCCCGTGGAACTATATAATGATCATGTCACAATCTTTGGTCTTCATGCATTACCTATTTTTCCTTGCATAGCCTACGTAGTTTGATGAACCTGTGTTGTCTGTGAATTTGGATTGTGAATTTGGAGCAAACATTTGGAGCATGGGGATGTGGTGGGTGGGTATTTCAGGTCTTTGAACATGTCTACAGCACTTCAGTCTGATTGTTTCAGTCTGAAATTAGACTTATTGGAGTTCATTCTATGATATTTAAGAGATCCATGGTCCATGTCCACACCCTGATGAGAGCGGGGCCTCCGAGACTAAAATGGCTGCCATTGTGACCCGGACCAAGCTGCAGTACTTTTCTTAGCCACCAGAACACGCCCGTGAGCCATAACTTCTGTTTGACCTGCAGAGCCTAAAGTAAAGTCGCAGTTTCGAATAAGGAGAGTTTTGACTATTTTCATCCATAATCGTAGTCCTAATATCTACAGTCTATGTTGTAATCGCTTCATAGACTGTAGCTGGCATCTGGTCTGGGCCTGATCTCCTCACAACTCACTTTACAAGTAGTGCAAGACATGGTAGTACTGTGATGGGAGACTGCATATATCCTATGGCAGGGGCCTCCAACTTTTACCATGGAGAGCTACTTTTTCACGACAAAAAAAGTAATTTAAAATAATAATATATATTAAATACTGCAGAACTTTGCCGTGACTTGGATTGCTTTGTGGGTGTCTAAAAGTCTAGTTTGTTTGTAAAAACTATGTGGCCGTGCCCTAACTGTAACCAATCAAGTGGTTTATTAGTCCACAAAGCATGAGCATGGAAAACATAACATTTAAATATTGAGATTTTTTGACCTTTCTAAATGCTTTTGGGGAGCAACATGGAATGGGTGACGAGCTATGGGCAAAACAGTGCAAAACTGTGGTGTCTTGAAAGGATGCATTATAGCCTTAAAGACACTTCCGCCAGGTGACCGAATTGGGTGTAGGAATGATTGGTGGGCAACTGTGAGAATAAAAATGTTAGAAAATGATTAGTAATATCAATAACAACAAAAACAGTAATTTAGATTAAAGGACAATGGACATGGATGGATATTTCATGAAAAAATATTGGACTCAAAAAACGACTTTGGACAGTGAAAAAAAAAAAAAAATCCAGGATGTGATGAGACACCACTTTGGGTCCTTGGGCTGTCCATCGAAAAGCTGGAAATAACAAAAGCTCTCAAATCTAGTGTGTGTCATGTGTCCAACCCCAAGCTGACTGCATAATACTGACATTAAAAGCAGGCCTATCATTTACATAAACAAGGTATGAAACATGAATTACATGAATGCATCAAGGGGGTTCTGCCTTAAGAATAAAAATTAACACTAAAGCTTTAAACAAATACCTTCTCATTTTTGGAGGTAAGATTTTCTGGTGTCTCATTGAACTCAAAACTACACAACAATTAGGGCATTTCTCTGAGGAATTGTCCCGGGTAAGTTTTTAGAAAAAGAAGAAAAGAAACAACAAAATCCAGATATTTTGGATGATCCATTTATATTTTTGGAGCAGTTGCATCTGAGGCGATAGAAAGATTCACAATCGTCTTTTCAAACACATTTTGGTCTAGCAACATAAACCAACATTATATCTGGTCATACAGGTCCTAAGATGGTTTTTGGCCAAAGAATCACAAATACATACAGATGTGCGCTCATTCAGTGTTTTGGGTGGGGGCATTTTCAAAAGTTTATAGTTATAGATTTTTTTTTATTTACACCAGAACACATTGGACTGAAAACACAATTAAGCGTTTTTTGTCTTGGTCTTACTCGAAAGCATTGGAATTGTGTGGTAAAGATCGTTTTGGCAGTTTTCTGGCTGGTTTTCATGACCTAGTGTTCTTGTGTAAATCACGCCCTCGGTTTCATTGATAAAATACCCATGCATTCTTGGGGTCCAGGCATCAGAAAGACAGAGCTGAAAATAACTTTGCGGTATGTTCAGAGTCCAACACTTATAAATGTTTATTAGCATCTTACTGTACTCAACAACTCAATTGTGCACTGTTTAACACAGACTTTTGGGGGAATGCTTGATCTTCTCTCAGATAGCACCGTTTGTAAGCGCTGCTGTGACAATGTGGATCCCTGGGCCCTGCTCTACTCTACTCCACATAGCAACAACATTACACGACAAACAATTTAGTGTTTTTGACCGGGAAATCAAACGTGAAAGAAACCCCTACATGACGCTGTTTTTTTTCTTTTTTGTACATTGTCTTTTTTCCATAATGTTGCTGCTATAAGTGACATCCACGGCTGCACATAAAAAGTATATATTTATATTTATATAATATATATCCATACTCTATTAACAGTTTTGTCTACCATGGAGTTAGAATCGCCAGCCATCCCTCAGAAAAGTTTTTTTGTACTTCAAACATTGATTATTTTACAACACAGAAATCAACTAACTTTGTACAGCTTTGTTGGAGGCCGCAAGTCTCAGTCGCAGTCCCTCCATAGTTGCTTTTTTGTTTTTCTTGGTGAAATATGGACAGTAAAACCATTTAGAAAAAAGACATTGCATTTACAAACTAGCACTGATTGAAGCGTTTTAAGACGTCCAGCCAAAGTCTTTGGCTGAATTGGACCCTTTATCAAACCACCTCTTGACCTCTCGTTTTGGCACGGTTATGTAGGCCTACACAATAAGCACAGAAACAAAAAGGGAAAAGATAAAATAACATTACATTACATTAAAGGCTTTTCTGCTACTACTTCCATCAATGAGCAAGTTTCTCCTCACGGCAGCCAGTGTGTAGGGCAGAGAAAGGAGCGCCTTACAGAAATGAATGGGCACCACTTCTGCCTTCAAGCGAGTCCACGGTAAAGGCCTGAAGATTCTGAAGAATGATGAATGTTGCTGTGTGTAATAGTCAGTGGTGAGTTTGTGAAGGCCCGACATGACACCAAAATAGTGCAATGTTTAGACATCCCTGTAATTTACATGTAATACTATACAACCATAATAAAAAAGTAGAAATAAGAAACAAATAAAACAAATAACAAATGTCCACAAGCGCTCTTTCTTTGATGATTAAACGTTGCACAGAAGCCAACGAAAAAATCTGAGCAAACAGACATTACATGTCCTACAGCTCTGCGTGTTGTGCTTCACATTACTAAAAGCCATGTCACTACTGTAAACCACATATGTACAGATGACTCCTGCAAATCCATTCAACTTTCCAGTTCATTTGACAAAACATTCCCATTATGAATCCATCTGTTCCAAAAACCATCAACTCCCATATGTCTGACTCTTCCAAAGGCCATCAGTGCAGGAGCGCCCCCTGTCTGCTGCCTCATGGAGCACAAACTAAAGACAAAAACAGAAGGTGTTGTCAGGTTTGGTGGTGGTGGCATGCACATGCACGGCTGCTCCTCTTCGTCCTGTGTCCCTCTATGTGTCCTGCAGGAGTGTTTGGTCCTTTACATTGTTTCATTGTCCTGCTACTGTTACTGCTACAAGAAGAATGGGGCAGGGGTAATCCATGGTCCCCTCCCCAGTGCTCCCTGTCTAGACCCAAGAGTCCGGAGAAGCCGGATAGTGGCTGGTCTCGTAGTTGAGCTCGCTGTAGGGCCGTGAGGCTGAGTAGAAGTCCACATAGTTGCCAGTGGATTTGAGGCCTTGTAGATGCATTTCTCCCTGCGGGGGGCGCCCTCCAGGGTGAACCTGTGGGTCGTAAAAGGCCTGGTCCTCATAGTTACCAGCGTCTGGTGGAGGAGGGTTCTGGAAAGGAGGATACGGTTCGGACGGCAACCCTTGAGATGCAATCTGTGAAAGATATGACTCATTAGACACTATAAGAAAAATGCCACAGTCTAGGGCTATCAGAGGCTCCTCACAATATGGTGTTGAAAGATTTCAGTTGATCTTTTTACAGCATTCTTTATACAACACATGGACTTTAAAACTTTAACTCACCACTTGTGGCTTCCAGGTTAACGGTGATGTCTACAACTAGAATTGTTGTTAATTTGAAAAATAAAACTTACTTATGACCGACTGTATGTATTTTAAGTATGTTTCATTATGGATACATGTAAAACAGTCTCTCCTCTTTGAATATCACCCGTATGATTCACTGGAGGATAGTAGTTAGACCAATGGTGAGAGGCCTCAGCTGTCCATCAAGGATTTTAATTAATTGCTTCCAATGAGTGACCCGTTGGGGGCGGGTCGAACCGGTAGCTGCATACGAAAAAACGTCTCTTCATCTTAACCTTCCCTTTAAGATCTTCAATACGCAACATGCTTTTTTGTCAAGATATAAAACTTGTAAATTGTATTATTGCATCACAGTTATTCAGTTATTCACAAAACACAAAGCGTGTATAAAAAAGTATACTGCTATCCATTCCAATCTTTTGTTGTCTATATCCCTGAGTGGGAGTTACTTGTGTTTCCCTTTCACCGGAGCTTCTGTCTGCAGCATCAGCACTGGCCGTACCTGGTTATATTTAAGATCGTCAGTTGGCGACACGTACGCTCCTCTGTGAAGAGTTGAAGATCCTCCTGAGATTTGAGCTGCAATAACAACATCAAACATTGCATTTATTTTTGGACATGGGCTGCATTTGATTCAGTTTATAAGTTGATGTAAAATAAATATGAATAAGTCGGGTGCATCCAATTTGAAGTTGTGACCGTGCTGTGAATGTAGCCAGCTCTGGTCAACTAGCCTCAAATTCTTGTGACAAAAAGTTCCCGACCACACTGTTTTACCTTTGTTTTTTACATAGTTTTGCATTTGAACATGTAAAATGCAAAAATGAATTTGTGTTAAATGTACTCATACACTAATCATAATAATTGGGGTTCAGGGAATGCGTGAGAAAGTGAGGAATAAGCTTTGACTGCGGCAAATGGTTTAAAATTAGCCAATTCTCTTTGAGCTATTTACAGAGATTTCTCCAGTTGTGTCATGAGCTCAAAGTATATTTCACAATTTTTTGTTTACAATTTAACTTCAGGCTCCATTCATAAGCAGTAAGTTAAAATATTTATGTATCGGATTTTTGTCAATTTTTCCAATATCAATACGAGATATTGTAAAAGTAACATTTTGTGAACAAATCAGTCTTTATCTATTTAGAAACATGTTATATAGTGCATATACTGTAAGAAAGAGCCCCGTGAGTCACTATTTGATGCTTTGGGCTGAGAGCTGATTGGCTGACTGAGGGTGGTCCTCTCATTTTCACTGTTCGGGCTGAAAAAGTTGATCTAAAGATGTGACGAAAAAAGGCCAAAAAAGACTCATGTACCAATACATGTAAAAACTATTGAAAGAACCAAACTATTTTGAGAATAAATAGTTTGATGGGATTTTATTGCATAGTTCCACTATTTGGAATATTAAGTTAGGTACATCAGCTTTAATTTATCATTGAAGTCTTGAAAAATCTAGTCAACTTCCTACATTCTTGCATGATAAGAATAAAAGGACAGTAACAGTAAAACCAAAAAGGGTAAACAGAGTGTGTGTGTGTGTGTGTGTGTGTGTGTGTGTGTTTTCAGACTTTTAGAACAAACTACTATAACTATATACATCAAATGTCTATAGTTTCCCAAGATTTTTCTCCGTATGTTTTGTAATTACACAAACTCCAAAGCTTCTACAGTATTTGTAAATGCTGTTTGTGGATTTTCTTCACTTTCCCTGTTTTAGTTAGAAGATCAGCAGACCATGTTTTTAGTCGACCAAATGATTTAAGTTGACCACAGGCCTAGAAAGGTAATGGCATGAACATGGAGTGGTTTTGTGTGTGTTTTTAGCACCATTCATAGCGTCCTTCCTGGATGTGTGCTCGCCCTTGTTGCCATGGTACGTGGCGTTGCCCGTTGACTCATAGTCGGCTTTCCGCTCTTTTAGAGCCATCATCTCTCTGGGGGAAGCAGGCGCACTCGCTACACACACACACACACACACACACACACGCGCACACACAAACACATACAGTACATATGAACATTTTCTGTGATTTCACCCAAAGACCCTGATGTCTCCACGGGGTTTTCACAGTGGCAGTGCTAGAAGCGTTTTTGAAAACAGTAACAACAAAGAATGTTTGGAAAGAGGAGATTTCCAGAGAGAATGAACGTGAGTGATGTTTGGATAGATGTTATTTTAGTTAGATTATTGCTATAAATAACTTGTGAAGATAACTCCAGAACAAAAAAACTATATTTAGTTTGTTGTAGTCAGCAGTTAATCAAAATACAAAAAAAAACATCTAAATGTTATCATTTTTCCTGGATATTTATCCAATTTATCTTTGTTATATCTGTGGAGAGGCGAGACTTATTCTCACTGTAAAACTGTTATGGACAGGACTTGTTGTTTGGACACTATGTTGAAGCAGCATGGGTGGATGACCCAAGACAAATTTCTACTTTTTGGAAAGAAGAAACAGAAGAAAGACCTGACATCATCCATATTTTAGGAATGTACAAGTTGTTAACCATACAGAGCGACAATGAAATCAAAGAACTAACTAACAGACCACTTCACAAAAACCAGGTCTCCACTAAAGACTGTATACAGCCCAATAGGGTTAGGGTTGTGCTCCTACTTTCTCTGTCTCTTTTTGACTTACATTGAACAGTAAACTCCTCTAATTCATTAACCACTTGTGTCACACTCATCATTTTGGGCTTAAAAATCTCTGGTTTAGTCTGAAATTGACTTCTGAAATCCAAATATAATGAGCCATAAGGATTTACAAATCAGATGCCTTTGTTTGCATGGGGAAACTTTCCTGAGCAACACCACTTTGAATCTGCCCCTGCTACAACTCAAAGCCAACTCTGTCAAATACAACAAACACCCACAAAGTCTATGTGGAAATCAGCTCCAGCTCGGCTTCAGCACAATACTCCTACTGCATGGTCTGTGGTCTCCAGCAGGACAGCTGAGAACATTCCTCTAAACCGTTTGTGAAACTGTTATTAGAAGGAGTTTGCTTTTATAAGTCTCTTTTCAAACTGTTCTGACACACATTTCTATGCTCATGGACACAAATACAAAAGGAGTGGTTTTGTCGTCCAGAGCAAAAACACCATATTCTGCTGTTTTTGTCTGTCATGAATATAATTTACATAAACGTATTTTAAAGCTGCAGCACAAGGACTTCTCAGACTGAAGGGTCATTAGTTTGAGCCTGCCGCCGTGCGAAGGTTAAAGCAAACTTGAGTTGTGAAGAAAAAGAAGTGTGGGTTCGACTCCTGTATTTTCAGAGGCTGAGTGATGAAAGCCCCAATGAGATGGGGCCATTGTGTGCGTGTGTGTGTGTGTGTGTAGGTGTGTAGGTGTGTGTCTGACCTGATCGATTGTTGGGTGATGTCCGGACCGGAGAGATAGAAGGGGTGCGTGACGAAGAGTAAGGTCGCTGTCTGTCCCGTTCTATCGTCGAAGAGGAGCCAATGAAGTGGTACTGAGAATATCCATCCTACAGACAAAACACATTACATAAATATATTTACAAAAAGCACAAAAAGTCGAATTGCTTGATTTTTAAAGTGTGTTTAGATATACAACACTGGCCTGTAATTAGGCTACTCTTAAAGTGATTGTCTGGAGTTTGTCAGAAAAAAGAGAGAGGTACAACAAAGACCCCTTCCTTTCTGATTGGTCTACACCTACTTTTCCGTAACAATCAATCAACACATTTGAATATTAATTTTTAATATTAATCATAGAACACATTACACTATACATGATTAATACACATGCACGGAGGTTTTCAGAATTATTTGTTAACGTTTTCATGACAAAAATAATGTTTTAATGCGTAAAAAAGCGATCGTGGTAAACCCGGAAGTAACTATTAACGTTGATTGAACATTATAGGACACATCTGCAGAGGATCTGATTATGGATATAGGTTCAGTATATAAATGATTATGGATATAGGTTCAGTATATAAATGATTATGGATATAGGTTCAGTATATAAATGATCATGGATATAGGTTCAGTATATAAATGATTATGGATATAGGTTCAGTATATAAATGATTATGGATATAGGTTCAGTATATAAATGATTATGGATATAGGTTCAGTATATAAATGATTATGGATATAGGTTCAGTATATAAATGATTATGGATATAGGTTCAGTATATAAATGATTATGGATATAGGTTCAGTATATAAATGATTATGGATATAGGTTCAGTATATAAATGAGTAACTCAGCGCGGATGTTCAGAATTCTTTGTTCAGTTTTCATGTAGTTCCAGAGCCTATAAAGGCTTGATTCGGAGGCTCTGCGAAAACAAACAACTGAGCATGCGCGCAGGTACGAGCATCAGCGCCGATGATTGACAGCCCTTGGCATCACTTGATTGGTTAAAGTGGACGGCATCGTGGATTTCTAGCTATAGCTAAGAGAAGGGAAGGCGGGTGTTACCCTTAATATTCGAATTCATAAAATGACTTATTTCATATCAACATTTAAGTTCAGGAGGTCAATTTAATAATTCTTAAAATTTGTAATTCATTTAGAGTTCCAGACTATCACTTTAACAAAGATTTTAATGACTACACTTGACACTTGGCATTGAAAAGTTTGTGTTCAACCAAATTGTGTGTTTTCCATACTGGTCAATAGAAGTGGAAAAGATGGTTGTCTCTGGTTATGGTGGGTTTAAGCTGCAAACAGCAAAATTGCAAAGTAATGATTGATGTACCTTCTTGTACAAGCTGCGCAGGTCTCTGTACTGCCACATGCTGTTGAGGACTTGAGATGCGGCCTTCACCACTTTGGGACTATGCCTGGGGATTCAGAGGAGAGAAAAACAACAGAGAATAAAGCTTAAACAGCCTTTGGTGAGTGAAGAGTCAAATTAGTAAATAAATGACATGGTAATCTGACAGCACTTGTAAATCTGATTCTTCATTGCTTAAAGTCAGCTTAATGATATCACCCACACAGTTTGCAGCCAAAGATTCCTGTTCCTGCAGAATTCTGGAAAGACACCAGCTAAATCAAATTGTGGTGTTGAGTGGGTGACAGTAGCTCAGTTGGTAGAGCATTGGCCTTTGAGCCCGAAGGTCATGGGTTTGAGCCCACCATGAGACCTTCTCCACCAACTCCACTGATGTCTGCTGTTGTTGTGTCCTTGGGCAAGACACTTAACCCACTTTGCCTATAAGGAGCGCCAAAGTGATGTTCACTGCTTGCCTGTATCAAACTGAAATTTCCCTATTGTGGAAAGGACCTTCTTCTAAAACCGGCCAAGACTTTTTTGTCAGTCCTTCCGTCATTGATCAAAGAATATGTATGCTTTATATAATGTATTAAATCTGGGGTACTTCATTTTCAAATAACAATAATAGAAATGTTGAAATAGAATCCTGTAACTATTGTCGTTCCTCACTCTCAAAACAGTTTGGCTCTATCACTAGTTTTCACGCTCACTCAGCCATTTCTCAGCCCAAAGCATCAAATAATGTCTCACAGGGCTTTCATTCAAGTATGAAAAAGATAACATTTATAAGACGACTTTTACAAGATTCTTTCTGTTGGGACAAACAACACAAAAATACCCCAATTTAAAACAAGCAACACTACACCACTGATACCATAGACGTTTGTTTGTCAGAAATATTTAGAGCCATGTTGTGATGGAGAATAACATTCTTGACTTTGGCTCATCAGAAAATAATTTCAATTCTCAAGTTGGCAGACACAAACTCTTAAGTCTGATGTTGTCAGATTTGCCTCAAGCACCCCCACATCTAATGGTAACACATCAAACACTTTCATTTTTGTAACATCAGAAATATGTCTAAATGAAATAGCCCCTGATGCTGCAGGAGAGGTCAGGACGTGCTCATGATTCTTCTTGAACAGTAAAACCCCCGCTGAAGTGGTGCATAATACAGGACAACTTATTCAACCGCTGCACATTAACCGCTGTGTGTCTCGACCTACATAGAGTTTTGTTCAGAGCGGGGTGCATGTTGGTGACCTGCTGTGGTAAAGAACGCACTGTGCACAAAATAATCATCTGGTTTTGAGGTTGAGGTTGGATAATAATGTCAGAGTAATGTTCTAGAAAAGTTATATGTACTGTATGTATCGCCTTCAGATTTTAAAATGACGCCTGACGTGGAGTTGAAATGCAAAAAAACATATTTCTCAAGTTGAGTACATTTAAATACAATAACAAAGGTGTTATTGTCAGATCAGAATATGCATTTTGTACAGCATTACAGTACCAAATTATAGCACAAACTAACATTATAGCCTACTATTCATATTGTATATAGTCTATAGTCTGAATTAAAAGATGTTATGAGGACTTTTGTCTGATTCAAAGTAAATATGAATGGCTCATGACTGGATCATGAGGGATCAATATTTGATAGAGAAGAGTGATTCACAAACCCTCAACTGTCTTCTTATGTCTGAATGTCCTTTCTACTCGCCACCATCATGCATATACATATGTTTTTTGAATACTGTCACTACTTCTAGGAACATTTATGAGAAAACAGTTAGACCAGAGATGGTATGTTAAGATGATGTGGAACTTTGTAATTCCTGGGCCAATCCACATGAAACCAAATCTGTTACCGAGAAATTAGCTCTAAACTTAGTCTTTTGTGATGTCACATGAACACAACCTATTGCAAATCACAATAATAATTCCTATGGGTGCGTCGCATGGCAGTAGACAGTTTGGAAAAGTAGACAAGGTTGGTAAGCAAATACAAGCAGATAACCATCACTGTTCAAAGCATCTTATTTACTTCCAAGTCACATCCACTCAATTCCAACTTCACTTTCTGCCTCCTCACTCCTCTTACTTGTCTCCTTTGCTGCGGGCGATGCCAATGAGTTTCTCAATCCCCCCAGCGTCCCGCAGGGCTTTAGTGTTCTCCATGTTTTTGGTGATGACCTCGTGCAGAGCGCAGCAAATGGCCGTGATGGTATCGTCCGACATAGTTTTGGACACGAGGCTGCTGTTGGGACCTCCTCCGCTGCTGCTGTTGTTGTTGTTGCTCCCTCCAGGCAGACGGTGCACCAGGTCCCTCATGGCGTATTTACCTGAGGCCGCAAACAGAGACAGAGCTGAGTAAGGGAAATGAACTGTGTAAGACATAGGTTAAAGAACTGTTATCTTAGAAAGCCATAGAATTCTAAACAAAGGGTTCTCTTGGCAGGGCTCACGGCGGCTAGAAAAGGGGTGGCTACAAGTGGGCCATGACATTTGTGGCAAGAGCTCTGGTGTGTACTGTTCTGGTGCACACTGGGGTCTTACACAGTTTCTCCAACGTGGTTTTACCGCAAATGGGAAATAAAATCTGGAATCTGGAAGTCTATTTAGAGCTCTCCAACACAATTAATACTATCAAGCTGTCAAGTTACTTATGTTATAAGTTAAGCAACCTGAAAAAAACCAATCTGGATCACATTTGGATCGACATTTATGATTGCAATTGTAACGTTTTATGTTCAGTATCAAGAAATGAATATGGAATTTTTATTAGGCCCGAGCCCCGAACGTGGAAAGGGCTTATTGTTTTTGCTCGAGACATGTCAAATTCTGCACTTTGAGCCTTAATTTGACCCCCTGAACATGCATGAAAAGTTGTAAAATTTTGCCCAAACATCAGACCTGGTGAAAAATTTGATATTTGGGTGTTTATTTTTATGGGACTCAAAAATGCCAGAACAGCGCCACCTACAACAGCCAATGGGAGTTTCAGAGGTCAAGTTTGTCGTAGAGCCATGAAATTCGGTACACATGTTCCTCAAGTCAAGATACGACCAAAAAGTTATCATGGCTCCGCCCTCTGACATACAGGAAGCCCATAAATTTGACTGCAAAATGGAAAAATGATCCGCAATCATTTTCATACATGTCGGTTGGAAAGCGACTCCTCCTCGGCCGTTTCACCGATTGGCCTCCATATCACTCCACATTGTCTCAACACATGTACCTTCAAAATGACCAAAGGGATTTTTGATCAATGAAACATTGTTTGAGCAGCGGAGCGGCAAAATGTGAGTGTTTTTTGACCGTTTTTCACAACATTAATTTACGGGGGGTACGGGGCGGCTTGATGCGGGGTGGCTTAATTTGGGACGGCTTGGTGCGGGGCGGCTTGGTGCGGAGCGGCTTGGTGCGGGGTGGTGCGCGCGGTGCGGTGAGGGCCGCTCGACGCCGCCTGCGGCTTTAATTTTTTTTGTTATTGCTCCTGTTTCTTACTGACTACTGATCAAAGGAAAAACAGAAAAATAAGATATTCAAAAATATCCCAAGCTCAAAGTCAATAGGTAATTTTCAAAAGACCTCTGTTATGAGGACAACATATCTCATGGTATTACAAAAGTTATATTTCTAAATCAAAGAGGATATGAAATCAAGAGTGAAGGCTTCACAGAGGTTTGATGTCTAATAGATACATCTCTCTATACTACCTGTGACAGATTATCCTTACATGCTGCATAAGTCAGCGGGTCTAGTCTTGGTTTAATGTTGCAGTAGATCGTTGTAATCAATTGTTGTAGGATGTGAAGTCGTGAAATTAAGCATACATTAACAATGACAAAAACAGAGACAGAGGCAGCCACCTTAATAACCTTACCTTAAACCATATTCTCCTTATGGTTAAATAGCACTTTGCACACACAATATTGCACTTCAGAGTTTAGAACATTCACATGAGCGGCTGATTTGATGCAATCTGACTGAATTTTCCTCAAACACAAATGCCAGAGGGAGAACTTGACCTTCTGATCCTCACTCCGACCAGGTCATGGCCTGTAGGTGCAGTGGTGCTGCTTAATTCTCAGTTCAAGACGAGTTTTCTATGGAATCAAATATAGAAGCCTCAAACATGTACAGTAAGCCTGTGATCTTGTATGTATGCGCAGGGGTTATAAATCTGTGCAAAATGTTACGTAGCTAACAGGATAAAGACAATCTGTTCAAATCAGAATATGCATTGTTGGCCCTGGGCAGACCTCTACTGTAGAGACTGACAGCTCGGCCCACACAGTGCACATGAATGGACACACACTGGTGCTCAGCCTCCAGTGTTAGACAATAAGAGGAAGGCGGCATGTCGCTGTTGCTATGGGGACCGGAGAAAAGACATCAGCCGGTCTCCAATGAAAACTGTGGAATAATCAGGTGGATTGACTTTACAAAGACTGGTGTCTGTGTCTCGTATCATTAGCTCGATAATGGACTATTGCGTTTTCATCACGGCCCATCACCTTAGTTCAATATTCGCATTGGCTGGATTGTTTACTGCTGGCAAGGTCACAAAATTGCGTGTTTGGTCTCAATATAAAGGTGACGACACATAATTTTGAAAACTGACAATGGTTGTCTGAAAAATGATATTATTCTTTGCGGGTGTTGGTTATTTCAGTGATTGCTCGGAAACACAGGTCGGAAACACTAACTTTCTTACGGACATTCACTGACGGCAACACGATTTACGATTAGGTAATGTACGGTACTCTTTATTGGTCCAGTACAGTAGAGAAATACACAGGTCTCATCTACAGTTGACCCATGCCCAGACCTTGAGCTTTACTGGACAATGATAACTAATATTTCCAACCGGGTTTTCACTTTGGTTTTTAGTCAAATATAATGCATGATGAATAGTCTGTTTGCTGGTCTGAGAAGTGTTATTATGCTATACTTTTCTGTTCTACAAAGAAGATATTAAGGGTAAATCTTGAATCAGAGTAAATGATCGTCTGTGGCTCTGTGCAGTTGTTACCTATGAGCTCCTTGTTCCTGATGTCCAGAGCCATGTTTCGCAGCGCAGTGGCCACCGCACACACCACTCTGTCGTTGTCTATCCTCAGCAGCTCCACCAGGATGGGCAACCCCTTCTCTTTACGCACTGCTGCCCGAATGTACACCGACCACTGCACAAGGACAAGACAAAAGCCTTTGATGAATTTCATTTGGAGAGCAATTTCTAGATGAAAGATGATGGTAGATGTAAATGATACATATGTTTCCATGTAGAGATTTAGAGAAAGGCTCTTCAAAATGAGAAAACGTTTGAAACATGACTGTCAACTATATTTTCTTGCACAATCCCAGTTGTTGCTGTATGTATGGACTGTATATTCATACTGTCTTCATGGGTGTGGAATGGGGTCCGAGGGAGCGAGTGTTGTAATGTAAACTGTTTTTATTTGTTTGTATATGCTTTTGGGACCTTCTCAAAAAATGAGATTTTTCAAGTGTTTTTTCCTAACCCTTTAAGGATCACCTAATTTCGCCTGCTCCTTCTCGAATTATGATACTCAAATGGAAATGCTTATTGTGTGGACATCTTGTGTCTGATTTTGTGTTATGATGCCTCATTTGAAAGGTAAAACCTTCTAGTTTCTGAAAATGTATGTTGCAGTTTGTTAGGAAGGACACAGTCTGCACTACAGCTTCTCAAACATGAGTCAAAGTTAGTTTTTTTTGTCTCGAAAAAAAAAAGGCAATTTCAAAAGGTTCTCCTGAAGACATACTTTATGGTATGATGTTCAAACTCACCAGAGCAGATGTTTGTGGTGTTGGAAACACCTGTATGAAATTTTAAACCTTTAGGTGGAACTATTTTGATGCTGGGGGCTTTTTTGTAACTAATGGGCACATTCGGCACAAGTGGTCCATTTTTGTGCCAACTGTGCAAAAGTGTTTTACATGCAAATTATCAATGTTTTTACACCAAAAATCCATTGATATAATTTTTTGGCTATTACTCTTGCTATAAATAGCATTTTTTCCTGATATTGAAATGTTTGCAGAAAAGCTATTATTTATATAGTTATAGCGCGTGTTCTCCGTGAAAGAGGCTCCGTCTTCCTCTTTACGCATTCAAATATAAGATGATTTGATTGACATCCAAATCGGCCAATGGTAGTCAAGACAATGCTGTCTTGACGCACAGATATCTATGTGATTGGAGCGCTAAATCTAGGTGCGCTTGTTTTACTCAACTTACTCTACCTTCCAAACCATAGCACTGAAAAGTCCGGGAATGGGCTTGTTTTGAAGGGAAGACTGAGAGGAAGACGAACATACCCAGTGACGCTAGCTAAACAGTAAAATGTCCTCTTCAAACAGTGCGCAAAGAACAGGTTTTGTTTTTGTTTGTGCAACTTTCAATACTCAAATATGTTGTTACAAGTGGATATCTACTATAAGGATGACTTTGAAGAAAAAACAACTGGATATAATTATTCTCTAGACCGTAACAAACAAAACAAATGCTCACATGTGTGGATTAGACGTGATTTGCCCCAGAATATTAGCATGACAAGGTAAGAATCGACAATATATATTTTAAACATATATACAGTTTGACTACTTATTCTTACTTTTGGTTATATTTAATGTTTATTTGAACATAATGCGTGTATAGAGGTGGGAATAAGCTTTCAAAAGAGATATAGCTTGACTATATTGACACAAGTGAATTCTAATACTGATGCTGTTAAATGAAAAATAACTGAATCCTCCCTGTACAGGGAGGGTGATCCTTAAGAGGATCAAATACAATCAAACTCAAATTATATTTGTGCACTAATAGTACAGAAGGAATCTTTTTCAAATGTGAGTGTTCTAATAAGCTGGAAAACCTATTGATCACCTTGTGGTTTTCAAGAAGCAACTGTAATAATGTGGTAATAATTCAATTATGAGTTACATTAAACGTGAGCATTATTGTCAAAATCAAGCAGCTTTATCATTAATCTAAATTTATCTAGATGTTGAGCAAAGTAAAGTACACTATGAACATTGTTGACATTAGATAGATACTATTGATTTCCAGAGGTATATGGCAGTGCTAGACATTCACACTGTTATTGTTATTCCATTTGGCTGTTAATCTACATTGACTTTCTGTCCTCAGGAGATTTTTCCTAAGCTTTTGTCTTTGCCCTTTCTCAGGTGTCCAAGATGGTGTCTGGCCAGTCTCTCACCCTCCAGCTGCCAGCCGCCAGGTTCTGCAGCGCCCCGGCCGCTCCCTCCAGCGTGTCAGGGTTGGAGCACTCTGACAGCAGGGTGAGGTAGGGCTTCACGATGGAGGGGTGCCATAACATCTGGATGCCTTTAGGGGGCTCTGCCAAGTCTGGAAAAGGGCCCACGCCATCCCACTGTGGAGGGAGAAGAAAGGATGCACTTCAGAAGAGCAGAGAAGATATGTATGAGCTGGCTGACATTGGGAGGTTACAATAATAGAATATTTAAGGACTCTGTAAATCTGTAGCGCGGAAAATTACTTAAATTGCATCGTAACCAAGGTAACACAAAGCGCTTTACAATTTCCATTCAATTCAGACACGATGATAACAGAAGTAAGACACCGTAACACCTGGCTCTGAGCCTTTGAACATCACCATATGTTCACTCACTCATTACATTCATACCTATTGTACAAGTTTATAGTGGTATGGAAAACTAGAGCACCCAGAGGAAACCTGCACTCTAAAAGCAGACTGGTTGGATTTCAGGCATTTCAGTGTATTTGGTTGTTTTAACCAATTGGTAGTTATTTGCTTGACCAATTTTTTTGTGTTAACAACCAATCTATGGTTGTGTTTTAAATCAATCTATTTCTATAGCACCAATCAATGCAAATTAGCCTCTGTGTATGGCCGAAGAGTCACACCCACTTCCTGGTTTGTGTCTTAGCGTAAGCACTTCCTGTTTCGTACTTGTCCTCTGTTTTTTACTAAAGCAATGCAGCTGTTCAAAACAAGGAAACATGCAAATTCCACACAAAAAGTCCCTGTCTGGTCCATTGAACGCTGGAATTTTATTCTGTGAAGAACAAGCCCTAGCTGCTGCGTTACCAGTGCAATATTCAATGGAACACAATGGACATCAACATTTTACAACCTTACAAAACATGTGTTTATTTCCCTACAGAGTACCAACAATATCTGCACTATTCTTTATGTATCATCCTACCTGGCCAAAGATGAAGATCCATACAAGATAGTTTTATGACTAATGATGAATCGAGGGGCCCCACTTTGAGTGGAAATAGAGCAGTCGCTATAGATTCATAAATAGTTTGTTTTTGTATTGTAGCAATTCAAGCCACTAGAGGTCAGTCCAGGAACTAAAGAAAAAAACTCCACATTGGGGTATTTGGACAATAAATATCTGGACATCTGTATTGTTGTTTGAAAGGGTTAGTTAGTGACATCTACGTAAATGTCAAGAGATAATCCCTTTTTCCCAATTTCTCTTGTCACTCCCACACTGCCTTGTCTAATGCCCTCATTTCGAGCTTCGCCAACACACTCTCCGTCTGTACTTGACGATAATCATGCGCAGCTGCACTGGAGTGGAGGCAAAGAGGGACAAAAAGCCCAAACGTGGCACGTTATTATTTAGGAGGGCTCACAAACGGCTTTTTGTACAGTCTAGTTTATAGGTTAACTTAAAATGTGCCCTAGTTACACAAATTGGTCGAAAGACTGGCTTTCCTCCCCGTCACTAACCGCCTCAATCTACTGCAAAACTGGTAAATAAAAAGCAAACGATTGAGACTTCTTAATCGACCGGAAATGTTTGGTTTTCAATGGGGCCTTTACCACTGGTTGTAAAATGACGCCTGCCACTCCACCAGAATGTGCCGCTGATTGCTTATTACCATGACAAGAGAGGAGAGCACATTTCAACGCTCTCCTTTCTGAAAGATTTTCAAGTTAGGATATTTTTAGATGAATTGAGGGTGAATGTGGTTGACAAGCTACACACCATAAAAATCACAGTTTGGATACAGGTACGAAGATATGATGTCTCTATCATGTTTGATGTCTGTTTCAAAATGTACTTTCAAAAGCTCAGATTAGAAGGAGTTTAAGTCTTTGAGACAATTTTGAGATCAAAGCGTCCTCACGTTTGACAGTTTCGGTGGTTGTTGTGACTATATAGGCTGTATGCATTCAAGATATGCCTATATAATCCAGATACATGTCAGATGTGCAAACAGCATCATGGATATCAAAGTGAGTCTTGAGATGTGATGTTTCTATAAATATTCATGAGAAAGTATGAACCTAAAGTGAACTGGGCAAACTGTTTATAACCTATACCATTACGTACGGTACACATCCCTTTGAAAAGACATTCATGCATATTAATCTCTTTATATATGCACATTTGGGATATCAAGGCCCTAAGGCAGCTAATCAAATGCACAGGGATGCTTTTTATGCTTTGTGAATTGTTTTCTTCAAGTATGAATATTACGTCCGCTTAATGGCCTATGCAAGGAAAGATAGCCATCACATACCTTTCTTGCATTATGCACAAAATTCTGAAGAGTTTTCACCATAATAGTGCTAGAAAATACGCTTTAAAAGAGAATGTTCATGATTAATTGTGCGATTGTGAATAAATATGGCCTCTTCATTTCAGAAGTCAGCTTTAGATTAATTTGTCAAAAAAACATCAAATATGCAATTCAAAGAATCATTTGCACTGATTCTCTGAAACTTTTATTGGTAGGAAAGGTGCAAAATAATGACTATGAACTATTTTATAATTTGCATTCATATGAATTGATGATAAATATTAATATATTAAAGTTTCTATATTTAGACTAAACCCAAAACATCCTAACCCATACTCCTACATAAACAACAAACTGACATATTTTTTATCTCATATATTTATTTCTCCTGCCCCAGGAAAACATATGGAAAGGAATTTTTGCTATAATACAACAAGCAAAAAATTATAAATTGTCTGCCACGCTGCATATGGAGACACTTGGCTTGGAGAAGTTTGGTAACTTGAGCACTATTCTCTCCTTTCTCCTGAATCTCCGTCATCAATATGACTTCAGCTGTCGTCTGTTCATTGCTATTCACGAGCTGTTGCATTGTCTGTTTCATGGCATGATGAAACAGACAATACGACTCATTTTCGACTGCAATCGCCTCTTCAGTCCTGGATCTACAGCCTCAGACCCAGATCTACAGCCTCAGTCCTGGTTCTACATCCTCAGTCCTGGTTCTATAGCCTCAGTCCTGGATCTATAGCCTCAGACCCAGATCTACAGCCTCAGTCCTGGTTCTACAGCCTGTCCGTCCTGGGCTTCCCCAAGGTTCCTCACATATTCTCCCACTGGGTTTTTTAGGTCGATCCTTGCAGATGCAGTGTGGTCTAAGGACAGTGATGATGACTTTTTAGGGACATTTATGCACATTTATGGACAGATGTGCACGGACCTTATCAAATAAATGAAAATAAGACATTATTTTTTTACGATACTGCACAAACAGTGGAATTGAATTCATCCTGGTCAGAGAAAAGGTAAAAAAATTTTTTTTTACCTTACCTTAAAAAAGTTTTTAATCATTCACTAATTATATAAATACTTTCTAATTATACAAGAATATTCTAGAGGGTATCTTCAACACATTTGAGACACCAGTGAATACTAGTGTAGAGACAGGCATCTGGCCTGTCTCTACACTAGTATTAGCTCACGCATACCGACAATGTCCCTGCCACTTTCCAGAACATGTAAGAGCTATAAGTTGTCGAATGAATTAAATTTAAAAAAAAACATTATAGCCCTTAATCACAACAGTGTCATCTCGGAGGAATTTACAAAGCTGTCGATTTGCCAACACAGATCAGAGAATCAAATGTTCAAATCTGCGTCATACCTGATCATGCCCCTTCTTCTTCTTCTTCTTCTTGCCCCAGCAGCCGGAGCTCTCGCCGTCCTTCCCTCCAGTGTCACACAGCAGACCATCCAGCTCCTCGGACCCCCCCTGGTGGTTGTGAGAGGTCTCCGCGGCCAGACGGTACGACAAGTTCCTCAAAATACACACGCCGTTCTCCACAGTCTGGGGCACAGGAGGACAGAGCAAATAAGTGAGTGTGTACAGATATAGCACAGAGTAAAAATATCTGTTCAATCACCTCTATAGCCCCCATACCCACAAACATGACATCTTTAACATTCGCCAAAATGATAATACTTATTCCCTTTTTTGGATTCAGAAATATTTGTTTAAGTAATATAGACCACAACATGCTGCATTTATCGTATTATAAAACATGTCAGAAAAATCTAACCTTAAGATATGAAAATACATGTGAATGGAGCCAAATTGTTTTGAGAGCGAGAAACGTGGAATAGGTAAAGTTTTGTGTTTTCAAAGTTAGATTCTTCAGCTTTCATGTTAATACAGCAAGAATGACAACAAAACAACGCTACTTCCAGCCGCTAGAAAAATGCTCATTTCAAATTCCTTGATGTTGTTCTTGGCTAAATAATGCTAAATAAACACAATGCAAGATATGAGCCTAAACCCCGACAGTGTGCCTTTTTCCTGTTTGCTACAAACTCTGCAGCATGGGCTAATCTTATTGTTGGAAGTCACACACTTTGATCTGCGAACGGATTTTTGTGGATTTACTATTTCACATCTCCTTTTGAGGCGCCTTCAAATAAACCACATGCACAGCCGGGACAAACAGGGTCAGGCACACACAATATAACACTGTCCCAAGACATATTTCTGTGTCATCTTGGTTTACAAACATCTCAACACTATAAAAATAATAGGCAGTGAGGCATTGCTTTCTCTGTCAGAATGCGGAAATATAGTGGGATAGACTTTTTGATATAAAGGGTATGTGAATGTAGTACTTGTTTCACATTCTCTTCAGCTGCTTTGTCTAGAATCTTATACAAAATGTGATGATTAAACTGAATAATTTAGTATGTAACTGAATGTGTGCCGTAGTAAATGGAAAATAATATTGTTATGGCTGGAATTTCTTAAATTAATACAGTGATAGAAACTGTGTGTGATTTTATGTGGCCCTCTGCTTTTGTTGGCCCCTTGGCAAGCCTGGTTAACTAATGTGGCCCAGGTACTAATATATTTATAGCATTTGAACATCAACTGGAAATGTATAGAGATTATGAGCTTGAGGCTAAGGCTGATCGGAGATGAGCTCAGTATGGCAGGGAACCAGCCTCTGAGTCTGAATTTCTGCTTTAGCTACATTTTATCATTATATTTTTCTATGGTTCAATAGGGAATACACAGTGACGCACGCCTAGTCTAAAAGCAGGATTGTGTTAAAACTACTTGATGATTTAAGCCAAAATCCGGTGTGTGTGTGTGTGTGTGTCACGGGATGTGATGGTGGAGACTCCCCTGTAAAAAATCAACACATTTTATGTAGACATTGGTTAATGATTATTTCGAAGTAAAAACTACTAACTGAGCTCAGAGCTCAGATGTGGCGCTGTTTGGCCAAGACACGTTTTCATAAAGGAGACATAATAATACACATTTACTCGTCAAACATCCATCCACCCTGTCACATGTTATCTGTGCAGCTATAGCATTTACACCAGCAAGATTTTCTCCTGACCTGAAATAAAACAGTTCATGTACTCTGACTTGGGGAAGGACATACATTTGCTGAGCTCTGGGGTAAAGACTCAGGCTTAGGGGGCTACAAAGATAGAAGGCATGGGAGGGTGGGAAGGAGTGGATGAGTGCAGTATTCAGCCAACTCTTGTAAGAAAGTCATCAAATTGCCACTTGTGACATTTGACTATTGACTGTCCAAGTCAATAATAGATGTGTTTAGACAATTGCCTATTAGCCGCGTTTCCAGCGCAGGAACTTAGGAGTGATTATCCAGGGCCAGCCCCGTCGGTGCGTGTCTCCACTGCAGGAACTTCCCCCACAAGGCCATTTACAGGAACTTTTATGGGGCCCAACGGAGTCCCTCCTCCATGCTAGGTACTCCGTTGGGCCCTGGTGGGACTTGAGGTTAACCTGGCGCTGATTGGCAAAAGCTAGCGCAGGCTCTGATGCCAGCAGAAGGCACCAAAAAATATGGCATTCTGCAGCATTAGCCTAGCAGACACCACTGGAAACAGTGAACAACAGCACAGCATTGATTCAGACCGGGTTTTGAGGCATTGCGGCGAAATAAAAAGATATATTTAGACATATCAGCTTCACCTCAAAGCACTGGGGAGTCTACACACTCCAAAGCAAGCCGTGAAAAGTTTTAAACTGAAGCAGGACTATTAAATAAACCACAGACCACAACAACCGGAGCGGTCACAAACATAAAATAAACAAATGGGTTTTGCGCATGGATCTATAATAATAACGGGTTTGGCGTAATGAGTTTCGCTTATGCGGCAATCTAAACTCATATGACGTCGCAGAGTGGTCCTACCCTGCAGTGGAGACACAGACACTGAGAGGACCGAGGGAGAGGAAGGTTTCTGTAGAAGTTCCACCCCGCTCCTTTTACCAGGAGGGAGGGAGAGGAGGGGGGACTGCCACATGTGAATCTTCACCCTCCTCATCAGGCACATCAAACCAGACCTTATCTCCGGCCTTGGTCAGATTGCCCTTTTTCCTAAAGAGAACAATCCCAGTTGGCTCAGAGAAAGGGCTACTCTCCTCTGGTTCAGTGTTTGATGTTGTGGCTTCAGACACTTTCTTCTCTTGTAATGGGGTCCAGCTCGTTCCAAATTCCAAACCAGGTCCATTATAGAACTTCTTAGATAATGACCATGGTCTAATTTTGGATGAGAAAGTCAGTGGTGTTTTTGATTCTTGTGCTTTCTTACTATACTATACTATACTGAAATACACTGCAAATAATATATATGTGAAAGCACAGGGTATAAATACACACAGGGACACACAGGTGGATCACATTAGGGCGGGGCAAAAATCAACAGGACGGGAAGAAAACTCAACTCCAAGAGAACAAATAGCAAAATAAAACCAGGTCAAAATGGTCAAAAAGTCCACACCTTGACAGTTTCATCTTAGGAATAGTATGTCCGTTCAACATCAGACGTCAGACATAGAAGCTGCCTCTCAATCTAAGTTTCTGATCGACATGACAACGAAGATTGTCGCATACAGAAGTAAGGTTTAATGGACAATTTAGTTGCCTGACAAGCCGGGTAACTCCCTTGAGTCTATTCTCGAGTTACACCTCTTCTCAGCTATAAGGATGTGTGTGTGGCTTGCCAAGCTAGCAATTTAAATGTGTTCATGGATAGTTTGTTTAGCTCAAGCTTCTTGAAGATTATAGATTTACTAACGGGGGTCAAATGAGTAGTTCATGCTTTGCACATTAGGTGTAGACATTTTGTTAATGAGTGCTCTAGTTCATAGCAAAGTTAATACATTCTTTGTAGACGAGCATTATAATAAAGCATTCCCCAGCCAAAAACTATTATGTAAAACACATTGGAAAACAGCAAAACCAACAATAAAACACAGATGCAGACAACTGTAAACGAATGTACATTTAAAAATAGCACAACTAGTCATCCATGAGCACTACATTTCAGTCTTGGATGGAGCAGCTCATTTCTTTATATAGATTGTGGCTCCTGGAAATGGGGAGTCAGAGTAGCGTGACTGCGTATTATGTGTGTAATATGAGTGTATTGGTGTATAGTATATTGGATGGCTGCAGGCGCTCCAGTGTGTGCTGTACCTTGCTGTCGATCTCGCTGCTCCCCAGAGCCGTTTGTATCACGTAGAGCAGCGCGTCTGTCAAACCCTCGCACTCCCTCATCCTCCTCCGGGCCTCTTCTCCGGCGGAGCTCACGTTCCTGTAACACACCGCACATGTAAAATACCGAAGCAACTAATGGAGTCTCGGTAAGGAAAAAAAAAAAAAACAGAAAGGAAATGGTGTTATTTACTGGCTCAAACTCATGAGCATTGCAACAGGGGTTGATAAAAACTATTTATTATATACGGATAATGTAAGTTTAGTGGCAGTTGATGTTTTCTGCTCTCTTTGTGTGTATGTTCTCAATCAAACAAGATTATTTACTTTAAATCCTGTTAAACGTAATTATACCAAATAGAAATAACCAAATAACAGTATTGAAAAGGGGATGGAATGAAAATGTGTATATACTTCCAACCCCCTTCATCCATTCAAGAGAGAACTAAAACTATTTGGAATAAAAACCTCAGAAAAGAAAAAATCCACAAGCCATACACATACACACTCTCAGACAAGACACAGGACCAAACACTCTCTGACCATACACCTATTTTCCGTCTCTCTCTTTCCTCCTCAGACTTCTTCTGAACTTCTTTTGTAGTCCGGTTATTCAATCAATCTAATGCAATCAGGTAGAATATGTTTTTAGATCATCTCCGCACGATAATGTTGAAGTAGTTCTAAATGTAGGCCGTTTTAAAGATGATCAAAGCTTGCAGTTTGTCTTCTTGTTATTCTATGAACAGTTCAACTCAATGTATTTCGCCCTAATCACAACAGCAGTCGCCTCGGAGGACTTTACAAAGTTGCCAGTTCGCCAACAACAGATCAGAGAATCAAACAGTTCGAAGATAAAATTACAATCGCTACAAACACATAGGAGCCATTGGTCCATAGGGAGCAGGATGACCACTGTGTTCATACATGTCCTTTAATGTCCCAGATCATCCATATACTAAAAAAAATACACGGATCTCACAGATGGACCAGCTAAAGATCCAGGACTCCGGCTGGATCTTTGAAAAATGAAAGATGAAATGAAACTAACTCTGATATGAGTTTGTTGGTAATTATCTAAACCTCACAGTTTGTGTTCGGACTAAACACATCACTCTGTATTCAGCTGTCAAAAAGAAGTTTAGAGTTTCACTGACAGCTAATGCTAGTTTCAGCATATTTAAGCACAGAATATTGCTCAACAAAAACTCTCTGAAAACCGACTTTACATAATGTGAGTAGAGCATGGGGCTTCAAGATTAGTTCAAGAATACATTTAGACAGAGTTTGTGCTGACTTTGATGGTGGAGCTTTAGCAGTCTAAACATTTTCATGACTTGAAATCCCCTAGTATGTATTATTCATGTCTTATTTAGAGCATATATTCACACTGGTGTCTTGTTGTTACAATAAGATTATAAAACGAATAGGACTTTATGAGTGCGTCTTTACTTGGTCCAGACTCTCGCACTTTTGGCTGAAAAAAATTATGGAGTTCCTGGAATCCGTGGAAATGTGAAAACACCAGACAAGTGCGGCCTGGTCCACTGTCTCCTCAGTCAACTCACTTTCTAATAAAACAGTTCAGTGATGTTGCGAAGTCTGGTATACAACTGGGTAATAAGTGTGAACATGCACCAGCCTTTGCCACATAGGCACTAACAAAAGCAAGTTTGAGGTCAAGTACATCCTGAAATTCGTAATAATGTGCCTTTGGAAGCTGTAATAATGTGCCTTTCTAAGTATTGCACATCCCCATCTCTGTGTGGAGTGAGTGGACCAATGCCCAAACAATAACATTTGTAAACCGCTTTGTGACTCTGGTCTGTGAAAGGCGGTATATAAATAAAGATTACTTACTTACATCAACCTCAAACTGGATTCACTATTTTGCACTGTATATTCTTTAAGTAAATAAGTAAGTAAAGTTTGTTTGTATAGCACCTTTCACAGACCAGGATCACAAAGCGCTTCACATTTAAAACATACAGATGAAATAATCCAAAAACAAATCAGATTTAAAAAAAGACACATGTAGACTTTTCTAGAGGTTTTGTCAAAGCTGCATTCCTCAACTGTCCCAGCGCTAAGTACAATTTTTGTGAACTAAAGTCTGATACAGTACCTGCATCTTGGGACATGTATGCTATTGTTTTCAATTTCAATTCAATTTTTATTCAATGTATTCTTGTATAGGTCTAAATCTCAGCAGTAGTTGCTGTATCTCGGAGGACTAAACAAAACCATTGAATTACCCAACACAGATCAGAGAATCAAACAGTTCAAACACAAGAAATGCAATTATTAAAAAACCACATATAGAGCCATTGGTCCATAAGGGGCAGATGACCAATGTCCATCAATGTTTTACTTCAAACTATTCTCAATTCTATTTAAAACATGTACATTCTTCAACTATGCATGCTGAAAGGGCTTGAATTTTTTTGGTGTGTGTCAAGACATGCTTCTCCTCACATATAACTTATAGCTTAGCCGAGTAGAGTTACATGCTTGTTTCCAATATACATATTTAATCACAAATCGCCACCAAATCAATGAACCCAAGCAAAAAGCAGGGAGACCACTTAAGGAATGCATCTTTAAATTGAATTGTTATGTAGTGTGCGTTAATGCATTCTTTGATGTCCAACAAGAAGAGATTAGCAGGTACATTTTTAATCTGTCTTTTATAGGGACTCCCCACTTATTTTACCAAAAGACTTATTTTGTCAATACAAGATATAACTTCCATATCGCAAGCTGGACTTCTTCTAATTCATTGCAATCATACAGGTCATTAATAATTGATTTATTAGTGCAGATGAGTGCGATACTGGCAGAGAGACTTGTTTGTGTGTGGATGTGGAGACAGCAGCTTCAGACTGTCTGCAGAGGATAAATAGCTAGATAAAGGAAGGCTAATATGATTGAGATGGAGTCATGGGCGCTGATAGAGCCGCAGTGAAGGATGAGGGCGGAGAAAATGAGAAAATATATGACAGACACAGCAGCGGAAAGAGCAGGTGGCCAGCCGTACAGCAAACCATGAAATATTCAATCTTTAATCAAACGCCCCGCCTTTCCTAATGAGGCATGAGAGAGATGAATAGTGGCTTCACACAAAGACCCCGACATAGATATGGAATAAAGCATGTTTTGTACTTGTTGTTATAGTCACATTTTGAGCAGAAAATCCTAAGTTAAGTGCTTGGGGTGGATCTGCGAGCCCCACATGTAGAATTAGACAGAGGCGAGACAAGCTTGCAGCAAAAATGCAAATGTGGTAATGGCAGCGAGCCCACAATGTCCCCACTCAACCCTGACTACACTGGTGCCAAGTCCTCCAGAAATGCAAAAGAGAATGCACAGAATTCAATGTTCCCACTGTTTTAGTCAGTGACAGTAAAAAAGAAATTCTCCATATCATACAGAGACTTTAGAAATAAGTATTGGAATCAAACTGACTTTAGAAATTGCTTTTTAATACATTGGGACTGGAATAAAGCTTTGACCTCCTTTTATTCCAAAACATGCCAATATCTGCTGTATTGAAAATATAACTTTGGAAGTAATTTAATTTTAGTGGCTAAGATACGCTAAGATACCAGCTAAGCTTAGCCGCCGCTTAGCTAGCAGCAAGCACTGCCTAGTTTGGGAGATCACCATGGCACCACGTGCCGCACAGCTGTCTGCTGTTGTGACGAGTACAAGTGCAAGCCTGGAATCGACCCGATTCCCGATACTAGTATCAGTATACTAGTAAGTATCAGTACATCCCTATTTATAACCATTCGGAACACGCACTTTAACTTACAGCACAACAGCACTTTAGCATGAGGACTTTGTGTTGTACTTTGTCCTTTTGTCCTTTTGTGTTTACAGACTTAATGTGGAAGATAATTGGGAAAGTTGGGGAGTTATTTATGAAAACTGTATGAATGCTGTAATACACCAGTAATCATGCAAGCCTGAAGTTTTTGCACAATAATGATAGTTCATAAAGCTATTATAAGATTGCAAACGTTATACAACAGCAAAAATGGGTGTATGCATCAGAGAAACAGCTTAAATCAGCTCATAATGATTTTTAAGCTGGTGAGATGGATCTCTTTGGAGACATAAAATCAATTACAAAATGAAACGTATGATAAAGTTGGCGGCTTAAGCATAATTTAGGTTTTACCAGAGAAAAGCACTTTGCAGAGTGCTCCAATTTGTCACTTGGCCGTGTTCATTGTATGGTTTGGTCTCTGACTCAAAGCTAATTGTGCACAGCTATAAGCTTTATATTGTGCATGATAAATGTTCTTGTACTTTTTAACTACTCCGCAACTATTTGAGAAGAACTTCCAACACTCCGAAATAATGCTTAAAAGTAGGTTGTGCAGTTAGATGTTGAGAAATCAAACCTGACAGGCGGTATCTTTTCTTTTCAACGATAACTTTGAACAATGGAAAGCGTTTTCAGACCTAATTTATAAAGTGCTAATGCTGCTATATGATGCTGTCAGAGGTGTTCAGTGCTTTATTCAACAGGAACTGCACTTTCCATACAAACCTCCTGTTAAGAATTATTATTTTAAATACATTTATTTGTATTTTGAATTATTTTAAAGGGTTTTTTGTGGTTGATTCATAATGTACTTATCTCAACAGCAACAAGGACAATGGAGATCTTACACATGTCTTTTAACTAATACCAAAAAATGTGTCTCTTCTATGGACAGCATTGCCCAATAATAATAGGATGGAATGAGGAAAGAATAATTTATATCATAACAAACTAGACCAGGGGAAGACTGGGGACTTATGGGGACTTTAACAATGACAACGAATATAATTGTTTATGTTTTTTAACTATTTCAACGTATAAGGATTTCAACAATGCATTGAACCACGACACATTAAAACCCACAAATGTAAAAAAAAAAAATCCTATTCATGTAAAATATTTATGTTTGTTGTTTTCAATCGTTTTGACGTGAGGCAGTGTTTCCATGGGAGCACGTGTACCCTCAGTGACAGGTAGGGGCATTGCAGAGGGCACTTGAAATGCTTTCCAAATCTTGCAAACATTGAGTGATAGGTTAATTTGGCATGTTATACATCATTTTAAAGCTCATTTCCTCAACTAATGAAGCATTTAGCATTTTACTTTGGACAAGAGCAGAGAAAATAGTCTGAACCAAGCGGCTACTCCACCTGGTGACCTGTCCTGCTCCACCCAGAGGCTACACCACCTCTGCTACTGTGACCCGTCCTGCTCCACCCAGAGGCTACTCCACCTATGTGACCTAAAGAGCTGTTGCTGATTATTGCTATTTTTTAACTTTTTAGAATGATACATTTTATTTTTTATTTTTGCTGCTACTGGACACCTGAATTTCACCTACGGGGAACAATAAAGTATCTGTCTATCTAACTATCTATGTTTCGGCAGAAGAAGGGGAAAGGGCTCTTTTGATAATAAAGGTGGCTAACCCCTGAAGAGGCATTTTTTAACAATCCACCTTTAAAAAACATGAATAAACACACAAGGCTTTATCTGAAAGACCATTATAACAGTACTGCAAGTAGCGTAAAAAGAGGAACAATATTTGTTTAGATAAATTGGAAGAATATAGAAGCTAATTTGAGCCTGAGAACCAAAACAACCAACCTGCATTTATCATTATTAGCAGACAAGAGTATGACTCGCACCTCGTCCCAGGAGAATAAAATTGTAGTGACTCATTTTCAGTCTGCCAGTTCTGTGCGTAAAAATAACAATCTAAAAATAATCAGCTTTCAACTACTACAGTCTTGTCCTCAAATAGTAAAAAAGACATGTTGTTATTGAAATCATAGTTGAGATGTGTGTAAATATAGAGCCTTGCCTTGTTGTTCGCATCCTCATGTTAACTCAAACACCTGATTTATAAAGAGACAATTGCACAGATTAGAAAAACAATAGTTGCTAGGAAACAGTGCAAGATTCCAGTAACACAGTAAGTAGAGTAGAGTAGAGCCGAGGAGAGGAGAGTAGGGCCAAGTGTGGGGCTGGTGGAAACAGGGCTTCAGGAATAAGGTAGTATTAGTGACTGACCGTAAGCAGCCGGTGGCGTTCCGAAGCACCTGTGACGAGTGCAGGTGCAGTTTGCGGTCGTCCTGGGTGTGAGGTGACGTGTCCCAGCCCGAGTGGGGGATGATCACGGCGTTGGTCAGAACGGCCAGTGCGTCCTGGATTATGGGCATCTTTAAAGCATCGCAGGAGGACAGGTTCCACAAGACGCCTAAAGACAAGAAGAGACAAAAGGTGAGAAGGTGGAAATAAAAGTACTGTGAAGTCCTCTCATGATAATTACTGGCTTCTATAAAGAAGGTCATTATCTGACACTTTGGACTGAGGGATGATTGGCTGAGTGAGAGTGGTCCCCTCTATTTCACTTTTCCATCTGAAAAAGAGCTGATCTAAAGATGAGACCGCTAGAGGCCAAGTCTTTTCTACTATATCATATATCCGCTATTAATTGATTGCATCTTAGGCTTTTTTATTTACTGTATTTTTTTTCATTGGCCTAAGTTAGTAAGTAAGTAAATAAGTTTATCGTTTATTGCAACAACATTTCTCAATATTTCTATAATATTATGTTATATTCTAAGTGAACTTTTGTTTGTCTCACAGTTTATACATTAATTAAATCTCATCATTTGTAGCTTTATATTAATAATAATATGCAGATTGTGACATGCATTTATTTATTATTTTGACAGTTTTGGCCCTCCATATACATACAGAGACACAGAAATATATAGACAGAGTTAGATACAGGAATAAAATGGTCTTTAAGGTATTCAAACTGCCTCAAAACTGTCTTTTGTTTAAGAACAACAAAATAAATAAGAATAAAAGAAATCACTGTCCTTTCTTGCTCCGGAAGCCCTTTGAACTACCGAGTGGACACATGGTGGTCACAAACTAGTGTGGCAAATCAGGACAACTTTCTGATGTTGCATTTAAAAAAAAAATATATACAGTGTATATGTAAATATCAATTAAATAAATGACTGAATTTGTGGATGTTACATTACTGCAAGGCATTCACAATGGTCCGCATGTCCCTCCTCACTCCTCACGCCCATTCCAAGAGCTGATTGTAACTGATTGTAAGATACAAGTTGGCTACTGTAATTAGACAGAGATGTGAAAACACATAGTAATTGGCAACTTATATTGATAGTTGGAACAGCAGTTTAAAACATTTACAATTGTTTGGGCACTGGCCACATACAATGAATTTGATTTATTATTTCAGGATTAGAAATACTTCCATATTTCAATTTTATTTGATGGCACTGTCACTATCATAAAGCAAAGAAAATTAGAGAGATCCAAGTATGCAATTAGCTCCCCAAACCTCCACCCCAACACCTGCATTTTAAAAGACTAATCTTTTCAAACACTGCCTTTAATTCATTTCTATTCTGGCTGGCGGTCACCAAAGTGCGAGTGTAATTAATAGAGTACAAGGTAGAGCCAGTGAAGGCGGTAAATCACTTACAAAAAGCTCGCCTCCTGTTCCTAATCCTCTCCTGAATTCGCCGTACAGTCGCTGAGCAGCCAAGCAAGAAAATGGAGGAGTTTGCTGTCCTCTTCCAATTACTGTTCAAGTCCTCTGTCAGCCACAAAAACACACGCTCCAACAATCGCAGTGACTAAAGTTTCCCTTCTCAAGAGACACTGCTTTTCTAACTGCCATGCACGTCTACATCTATACACAAGAATAATGTTTCATTGTGTCAACTCTGTAACTATTGAAATGGCTGTTGTAACTGATGAAGAATGGTGAAGGAAGAACATGGGCAAATATTGGATAAAAAAATTAATTAAAAAACCAATTAGGTCAAGGGATGTTGCTGACAATATACTTCGGGGCCAAAACGCGAAATTTAAGAAGCATTTACAACTACTGATATGTATATTTTGAGCGTTATTTGTGTGCTCTTACTATACTGTTCTGTATGCGCACAGCAACACCAAAAATTCCCCACTTTATGATGAAAAAATATTATTCTATCTTATCTATATTGGAACTAAACCAGGCCCAAAATATAGCCCCGTTTCCACCACTATACTTGACCCTTCTCTACTCCACCCTACCTCGATTGGGAGGGTTTCCACCAGCCACTCCCACCGCTCCGTGTAACCGGTATCAGGTACCTGCTTAGCCCTGGTTCTATTCTAACAAAGCTGGTTCTAAAGTGTTCTAACTGGCAGAGATTGGCCAGAGTGCTGGAAGCCATGGTTACCAAGGATTTCCCTGGATACGTGTTTGATCTTGGTATAAGTATAGCTAGGATATGTTTTTAGATACAATGGAATGGAAATAGAACCAGTTAAGGTAGAGCTGAGCAGAGTAGGGGCCAAGTTCAGTTGGTGGAAACGGTCCAAAGTTTACATCAGGCTCAAACCAAACCAAAAAGCGTGAACACACTCTCACACTCCCTGTTGTGATACAAAGACCTAAAGGATTATACTGTAGGTGTGCTCACATTTGTAAAGAGTTGGTCCTGAACTGATCTAATTTTAGTCCGGATGTGGGTCTTGTTTTGGTCCTGCAGTTCTTATTTAGTCCTGATGAAGAAAAACCTCAGACTCACACTTGATTTAGTTGAACATGGGTTTCTACACTAAAGATTTTATTTATGCAAATGTGAATGCACCCTGGTTCACTCAGTCAGATCAGCAGTGAAAATTGATGGATTTGCTTTTGAAGTGAACCGAGTCCTCCAGACTAATCTGTGTGAACACCCCTCTCATTTTGAGTTTATAATTATCCCCCACTTTGCTGTCCAACAGTGAATGATGCATAAGAAAGCAAATACATGCTTATGAATAACTAGGACTGGTGGAGGACAAAACCAAAACAGACTCTGACATTGAACCAAACCTCTTATCCCCAATAACATACACATTGTTGACCCATGTTCCTAGTTATACCTGTGCGTGGAACTTATCCATTATTGTGAGAAAACAACAAATCCCGAGATCCGTCATAGTCACATTGTGATCAAAGCAGCTTTTGTAAATGGGTGACTTTGAGGCGTTAGCAATTAGTTTTGGAGGGAAAAAAGTGATTTACCGCCCTGAGGACAGAGGGGAGGGCTGGTGACTGATGTTTTTTTTTCTGTGAAGTGACACAGTGTTTTGGCCTTTTTGAAAAATATGTATTTTGAATAGAAAGCAATGGGAGTGCTGTGAATGCATGCTAAAAAAAGGAAACAAAAAGTGCCATTCTCAAAGTTTTCAGCTAGTTCTCAAACTTTTTCCGTCCGGCACCATACACATTATGCCTGAATCATCAAATTTTAAAACCAACAAAAAAGCTCAGATGTGGTCATAAATCTAAAAGCCATGATGATGAGAGTCAAATAGGAAAGCCATTGAGAACAACTCTGCAATAAACACAAGTCCATAAAAGAGAAGGTAGAACTAATAAAACAAATAACATTGCTTTACACATTGAGTTTATGGCTATTTGGGTCCTTATGCATGAGATCTTACCGGGACTTTCAATCTGTGAAATGTTTTATCTTTGAAATTATTTATTGTGGTGAATAAAAATGCCACACTACATCCTGGATATACGGCTTATCTTAGCTAGATAGATGCGATTCTACTGACGCGGCCAACTGTTTTGCATGTAGTTCATCTTATATTTCAGTATGTTTAAGTTCAATTTATCAAGTTCAATTTATCAAGTTAAATGTATTTTAAGTTTAATTTATTATGCGCAGTTACACTAAAAAGATCGCTAAAAAGATGGCTGCACCAGATTTAGCACAATGATACTTTCCATCTGTAGTCCTTGACAATAAAATCATATAACTTGAATATTATAAAACAGTTCAATAAAAGTGCAATTTACTAAAATACAAATTAATATACAGTTCAATAAAAGTGCAAGTGAAATACCTAGATAACAGTATTATCAAGGCTCAATAAATAGTATGTCAAACAGTTATGATCAGTGAAGTGAGGCATGTAAAATCACTGAATGTACTGTACTCGAGTATTGCACATGGAGATACAGATATGGAGAGTGAAAGGGTTTGACTTCAGCTGCGCATATATCTATAGTATGATGCACACAGTCAGCGGTTTGGGACGTGTCTTTGTGAGTGAAGTATGACATCATCTCCCCGGGGTGCGCCGCTGAAGGATTCAATCTTTGATGTGAGACTGAAAAGAGGAGAGCGCTTCACTAAACACCTCAGCGTGGATCCAGCAGAACATGGGCACAAACACTCACACACACAGGCCGCTAATGGAAGATCAGATGCACCGGGGTAATTGCCTCGCTCTTACGTCATAGGGCCTGTGCAGCAACGGAGAAGGAGGAAATGAAAATTGTGGCTGCGACTGTGAAGAAGGCATCTTTACATCTTTGAGGATCTTTTGTATCTGATACATAGAAATAGAATCTAACATGTAAACCATTATATTTGGCAAAGGTTTTTACAATACGTTTGGGATATTTAGATGGTATTTGATGTTACTGAAGTAGAAAAGGGACAGCCAACGAGATTTTTTTTGGGCTGAATATAGAACTATATTTAAGCCATTCATTCACCTAGCACTGTGGTGGTAGCAGTAGTAATAATAGAAGTAGTAGTAGTAATTTTTATTTGAAACATATGCAATATGAAACCAAATGTAGCAAAAATATACAAAATAAACCAAAAGGGGCTGGATATAGCAAACCTTTTTTTGGCTCCAACCCCTCTCCCTCATTCAACACAATCCAACACACACGTATCCAAAACACTCTCTGACCATACACCGCGCACAAACAGTGGGAACAAGAATGAACGCTTCTCTACAACAGTAAAAACTGCAACATCAGAGCGTAAAGCTGTTTGTACGTCCTATGTTTTGTTGTTGTTGCTGTGAACAACATGCCACATTTGTTTCCACTAAACAATCAGTAGTTGTTTCGTAAAGAGCGATTCAAGGACGACCCTAGCAGCAGCAGCAGCAGCAGCAGCAGCAGCAGCAGCAGCAGCAGCAGCAGCAGCAGCAGCAGGAGGCAGTTTTGTACCCAGAAAACACTGTGCACATTATGGCTCATATGGACCCTCTGCAGGCACCGATTTCACCTGGAGAAGTCAACTGCAATAACCTTTGTTTCAATTCAATTCAATTTATTTTTGTATCGCCCTAAATCACAACAGCAGTAAAAACTCTGTCTACGAGGACAACAGATCAGAGGATATATGGTTTTATATTTCC